GCAGCATGGCTCAGAGGAAAGTGTTTTTCCTCCTTTGTGCAAAGGCTCCACTTGCCCACAAAGCCTTATAGCCTTAAACTGCACTTGGATGACATGTTTTAAAACCAGTAAATTTTTGAAACAATCCCAAGTATAATATCCTAAAAAACATGATTTCTCCTTCAATTATTACTTAACTTCAGCAAAAATTTCATATTGAGTCAGGTACTTTTTAGGACTTTCTATCCATGGAAAACATTTCAATTGCTTTATCTTATTCATATTTATATCTAAAATTTATTTGGTTTTTGAGACAGGGTCTCACTGTATAGTTCAGGATGGCCTTGAACTCATTATGTAGCCCAGGTTGTCCTCAAACTCACAATGATCCTCTGCCTCAGCCTCACAAGAGCTGAGATTACAGGCTTGCACCACCACATCTGGCTTGTGTCTAGAATTTTAATTCAAACACATTTCTCCTCTTCCTCTAACATCTGATGCCACTAGAATACTGGTGGAAAATAAGATGTCTGAATCCCAAATATCTAGTAGATTTGCATGCAACAAAAGCTAAAATAGGAGGTATTTATCTGTACAGCCACACATGACAACAGAGTTGTGATGTGTACCATAATACTAGGCCAAGGAGCTGAATGGAAGGAGAGAGCCCAAATTCTGTCAATTCCTCAGCAAGTAGATGCCCTGCAGTGTGAATCTGTACAAAGGAAGAAAGCTCTTTTCCTAGTTCTCACCCAAGTTTCATTTGTCCCACAGAGCCATACAGACTAGGATTTTCCTCATAAGACCTTTTTCTGTCTTCCACAACAGCACCAGAGGCCCTGCTTACCCCTAACTTTTCAAGAATTAGGAATGCAGGGCTGGGGATTTAGCTCAGTGGTGCTGCCAACTGCCTCACAAGCACAAGGTCCTGAGTTCAATCCCGAGTACAAAAAAAGAATTAGGAATGCAAAATGTGTGAGACCTTAGAGTGATGAGATCTGTGAAGCCCAGAAGCTACAATTCAAACTGAAGTCATATTCCAGAAAAAGAAGGAAAGAAAGGAAGGGAAGGAGACAGGGAGGGAAATAGTCAAAGGAAGCAAAGTAAACATCCTGTGTTATATAAACATCCATATTCAATTGCCCCTCCTTATTCCAAGGAAGAAGTCCCAAGGTTTCCTCTCCCACTTACTTCCAGGCTAGGGCTGGTCCCAGACCTGCCACAGGCTCACTGGTAGAATGCAAAGCAAATTCCCGGTTCCATACTCTGACCTTCCGAGCTCCTGTGCAGGAGGTAAATCAAATGTACTTAAAACATAACATATACTGTGAAATCACAGCTTTTCAAGCACTTTCCTTACAAATGAAATTGTCATGAATTTACAAAGTCAATCAGATTAATCTTGTTAAAAATTTGTATTTACCAAATGGGAAGCTGGACCAGAGGACCACTAAAAATTCATAATTCTTAATTTTAAATTTATTTATCATCTAAAATAACACATCTTTATCTCCTCTGTGTAATTATTACTTTATTCAGAGGAAAAACAAAAAACTCCAAAAAACTTTCCAGAACTTTAACTAGTCTTTAAAAAAAAAAACCAAAAAACTGCAATTGCAATTTATTTCCATACCTGTTTCTGGACAAACAACACTCACAGCAAAAAACTGTCCATCACCACGCCAGGTAACTTGTGTTCTATGGTCATCCCAGGGTAAAGCAGACTCATGCTAAAGAGAGGAAAGAAAGACTAATGTAACTTGGGAAACCTTGAGAGCCCAGAACCAAACAAGCCTCAGCCATTAAATACATATCTTTTCTTTGAAACTGAACCTACCTAGAAAGCCAGTTTCATAAAGAATCATCATGAAGTCTTATCTAAGGAGCTCTTACAGCCAGAAATCACTAAGAAAAAAGAATGTCAAACAAAAATCTTTCTTTGGCATTAAAAGAGCTACAGATCTAGATACTAAATATATTGAGCTAAGAAACTTATTGGGAAACTATATAAGAAAATAAATGTTCACTTAAATTTGATAGTGGTATCATTATTATGCTTTCTTTCTGGTACCGAACATCAAACTTAGGCCTTTGGGCTTGTAAGGCAGGAGGCAGCAGCACTGAGCTAAATCCCCGGCCGTGATATCATTATTATGTACGCTTCATAAGGCACAGCAGTGTAAAGATGGGACGGCTGGACATGACAGTCCACATTGTAATAGCCCTTTGGGAGATTGAAGCAGGAGAATCACAAGTTCAAGACCAGCCTGGGTAACTTAATAAGACCCTAGCTAAAAATAAAAGGGTTGGGGATACAGCTGAGTGTGAAGGAGATGATGAGAGGAAGCTGAGTATGGCAGAATAGCAAGCAGGAGCAAACAAGGACGAAGACATTCTGCATTCCACAGAACAGGAGAATAAAGGTCTCCACTACATTTTACATTACAATCTGGGGGCCTTGAAAGGCAGCAGCCAATTCTCCAGGCGGAAAACAAAGGACCACCTGAGAATTCCAGTGACAGCCTAAGCAGAATGCTGCCAATTCTAGTTTCAGTAACAGGAAGCACAGGAGAAGCCTAACAAGATTCCCTCTCAATGAAACTGTTCTATAGAAAAGAACATAAACTTCTACTAGTGACGGGTAAAGGGCTGAAATAACAAAAGGACAAAAAAATATGGCAAGCAGGGTATATTATAAGTTCACCTATCCTAGAAAGATAGTACATGGATATTTCTACATATAATTGTGCTTCCAACTGCTGGGGCACAAACCTTGGTATGAGTCCCACTTCCCCTTTCTCTTACCTACTTCTGACCTGTATTAATAAATCCTATTAACTCTTCCTTCAAAATGTATCCTGAGTTAAACCACTTTTCACCACCTCTCCATTCTCTCCCTTCACAGTTCTTAACCCACCAAACAAATGCCAAAATGATTCACTGAAAACACAAATCAGATCTTGCTGCTGTGAAAATTCTTCAATGATTCCCTCTGTCAGCTGGAGTAAAAGCAGAAGTCTTACCACTGAGCCGCGAGTATACTGCCTTATCACTGACTTCATATTCTCTCATTCTCTCTTCTCCAATACAATGGTACCCTTGCCGTTCCCTCCACCCCCAAGAAAAAAACAACTTCAAGGTCTTTAGTCCTGGCAGATCCCCCTGACTGGAATATTCCTTCTTGGCTATTCAAGGACTCATCCCCTCATTTCCTTTGGGTACATAATCACATAGCACCTTCTTAGTGTGCCCATCTCTGACTGCCTCACTAGTGTAGTCTGGCAGTCCTTATTCCGATTTCCCTTCTTCCATGGCATTTTTCACTATCTGGCATATTATACTATGACATTAGTTCAATGTTTGTGTACGCAAATAGAATGCACACTATTGTGGTAGGGACTGTGTTTCCTGCTATGTATTTATTATCTAACAGAGCCTGACACATATAAGTACTCAATAAATGATATAATTGAAAGCAATGATCAATACGTTTTGTTTTTGTTTTTTGAGACAGAGGCTCACTACATAGCCCCAAAATTGCAGCGATCCTCCTGCCTCAGCCTCCCAATGCTAGAATTATAGATGCCACCAGACCTGGCGAATTTTAGAAGAGACTAGGAAAACACATACAATTGTAACCTCTAAAATCAGTATTACCAGGCACTAGAAGAGCACAGACAGGTAATAACCAGAGTGCTAGACTCATACAACTTAAAATCCAAACCATTCCCATCAGTATTTGCATCTGATTAATTCATAGACTTACTTCTTTTTGAGACAGGGTCTCACTACATGCTCACCCCATCCTCCAGAATAGTTGTAATTACAAGCATGTGCCAGTGCACTGGCATAATCTATGGATTTTTGTTTCATTTTCCAAAGGGAACTGTGAACTTCCAACTTAAGACCAAGCTCTGGAGAGCCTTTAGGAAAAAATCAACCCTAGAGTAGTCTGCTGGACAGGACATTAGATAGCAGAAGCATTCTGATTTTCTCCATTACCTGAATCATTTTATTAATAAAACATAATGATGGCTCTAGTGGACAACTTTCACTGTCATGGGTACCAGGAGTAAAACGTCCACTCCAGAGTATGGCAAACTGCCTTATTTTAGATACTATTATAGGGTCCCTTAAAATACTATTCGTAGGACCAGGGATTTAGCTCACTGGTTCTACCACCTGCCTCGCAAGCACAAGGATCCGAGTTCGATACCCGATACCAAAAAAAAAATACTATTCACAACAAATTTATTGGGATATAACTTATACATCATAAGGTTTACTCAATGAAGTACTGTGTAGGATTCAATGTTTTTAAACTGTATTTTCAGATCGGAGTAATCATCACCATAATCTAAATTCTGAACATTTTCATCATCTCAAGAAGAAATTTCATACTCATTTGCAGTTCTTTCTGTTAGGAGATCGCACATGTTAAAATATAACCCTCCCCCAGCCACTTTATATCTTATTTCCGGGTTCTTTCCTGACTCTGAGTCCTTTATCCCGCCGAAATTATAAAGCGCGAAATTCAAAAGACAGCCTGGCTTGCCATAGGATAACAAAGACCGCTTCTCCCAAGGAAGGATCTTCCGTTGCCTGCCCTATAAATATCCCAGTATTTCCTCCTCTCGCTCTCTCGCTCTCTCGCTCTCTGCCTTCCTGCCTCCCGCTCGCCTCCCTATAATAAAAATCTCGTGCCAGACCTCTCGGTGCGTGAGTGACATAATTGGGCAAGGGGCACCCAAAGGGGGCTCGAGACCCCTTTCACTTTCCACCCTACACCCCCAACTGCCAGTCCTAGGCGCTCATTAATCTACCTTCTTTTACAGATTTGTCTATTATGGGCATTATAATATACATAAACACAATCAATTCCATTAGAAGATTGAAAAGCATCATCTTGGGCAGACAAGACACCAATATTACCCAAAAGAAAGACAATCAATCAGAAAAAAAAGTAAAAAAAAAAGAACAATACCTGTATCTGAAGGAAAAAAATATGAATACTTCATGTAAATGATCAACCATTACTGAGGGACAGTAGCTCTCTCTGGAAAGACGAGGAAAAATTACCCAGGGTGTTGCATTTCTAATTTTGATGATTTATCTTCTAAACTGGGTGATCTTTTTCTTTCTTTTTTTTTTTGGTACCAGTGATGGAACTCAGGACCTTGCACTTGCAAATCAGGCAGCAGCACCACTGAGCTAAATCCCCGGCCTGGTTCTGTTTCTTCTTGACACTTAAAAAGGATGCTTATAAGGTTACTCATTCCCTGAGGGCTCTAAACAGCTACAGTTTTACTAAGCAGAGAGATCTGTCCATTACTGGCCTCTTAACTGGTCACCTAGGCATTTCTGGTGAGTGGCAAAACTTCCATTTGTTTCATCAGGGTTTTCTATCCATCAAACCAACCTTACCATTTGCATCTGAAAGGCTGCTTGCCTGCCTTCTGATCCATGGAATTGTGTCTCCTTCTTACCCCATCCAACAGTGACAAACTTGCCTGAAGAACAATTTATTGAAAATATTCATGACAATCAATAAGCTGAACAAAATGAAATAAAACCAGTTTCACCGCTATTCTTTGTAAAGTTAGTTACTGACAATTATTTGGATCCTTTAAGACCCAACAGTCAATATTTGAAAAACCTTTCGTTATGGTTTGGATCTGAAATGTCACCCCAAATCTTATGTGTCTGGAAGGTGACTGGATAATGGGAGTGCTCTATTCATCCGTGAGTTAATCCCCATAAACATTCAGAGCTAAAGGTTCTGGGCCAGGCTGGAGGTAGGTCACTGGGGGCAAGACCTAGAAGGGTCTGTTTTCTTCCCTGGCTCCTTTACCGCAACAACATGAGCTGCTTTTCTCTGTCCAGCCTTTATGCCACAGCATTTCTGCCTTCAAGGTAGCTGAACATAGACTGTAAAACATAAGCCAAAATTACTCTCTCCTCCTTTAAGTTTTCGCAGTGATAAGGAAAGTAACTAATATTTTGGTACCAAGAGTAGGGTCATTGATGTGGTTACTTAATCATGGGGTTTAGAAGCCTTTAGAACTGACTTGCAGAAGGAATTTGGAAAGTTTGGAGATGATAGCATCTAGCTTTTCTTAAAGCTCTAGAATGCTATAAGCCAAACTTGATGGAAGATTTAATTAGAGTTTACAAGACCAGAATACTCAAAAATATGCAGTTGATAAATGATAGATTTAGGAGGTTTAAGCAAGGAACAAGGCAGTTGTACTTGAGATCATGTATATTATGCTCCAGCAGAAAATTTGTCTTCATTATGCTCAAGTCCTGAGAATTTATGGAAAACTGAGATTAAGGGCAGCAAACTAATCTGGCTGAGGGAATTTCAGAGCAGCTCAAGGTACATGCTTATAGCATGGGTACTGTTTGCTGCTTTTAGCAAGATCTATAGTAAAAATAAGAAGCAAATTGTTTAACAGAGTTAAATTATTTAAAAGGGTACAATTTCATCAGAAAGGAAACCCAATAAAGTTGAGACCGTGAAGAGAGTAGCTGCTAAAAAGATCAGCATAACACATTTACAACAGGACTGTAATTCATATGCATCATTGCTGGGCAGCTCTAATTTGAATTCAATTGTTTATGCTGGCTTGAACCACCAGTGGTACATGGATGACTGTCCCCATGGGTAGGTTGTACTTTTTCTCAGGGGGGTTTTATTAGAACAATGCAAAGAAAGGTACTGATTTAGCATACCAGGTATCATCATATTAGAGTTCTTTAAGGAAAACATTAAATTGGTGTAGAAAAATTATAATATAGTTAATTTGTTGTACAGCAGTTGTAAATGTGTATTATATATCAGCAATGGGGTACCTGCGAGATTACCATATTAAAATTTAGAGAATTGCTGATAAACTTCATGAATATAAAGTTTTTCTAATTTAATGAAATAAATCTGTTGGTTATTGTAATAATTTCAAAATTTAGTATAAACAGTATTCTTATAGTTGTACAGTAATTATTCAACTTTAAGCAACTAACTAGATTTGGTCCATTTATAAACTTATTAGTTTTATTAGCAAAAAGACTAATAAAAGTGATTAGATCCATTTATACCACCAATGGTATAAGCTGCCTGATGGGGCAGTCATGCATGTACTGGTTCAAGCCTGCAGAAAGGCCAAGTACTTTGCATGAGAACAATAGGAAAGTTGAACTGAAAGAATGTCAGGAATCAGCAAGACCCCACTCTGCTGAGGTTCAGTCTTGTTTTGGATTGCACTGCTGGGTTTTGGTCTTGGTTTTTGTCCCATACCTTTCTATCCCCCTACTGCTACCTTCTAGAATGGAAATGTTTATCCTGCGACATTATACATCAGCAGTGTTAAACATTTTTATTTTTACAAGGGCTCACTCCTAAGTTCAAAGAGGGGGTCTTTGAATTTGGATTCTTCAACAATGCTGGAACTGTTAAAACTTTGGAGAGTCTTAAGAGATGGACTAAACAGATTTTGCATAAAAAGACTTCTAGAGGCCAGAGCAGAATATTATGGTTTAGATCAAGAATGACCCCCAAAACACTGATGTGCTTAGGGACAGGGCTTTTTTAAGGTAACTGGATTATGGGGGCACTACTATAGTTGAATGTAATTTTAGGAGGTAGGGTCTGGCCAGAACAGAGGGGTTACTGGAGGCAAGATCTCAAAGAGTGTATTTCCTTCCCAGCTTATCCCTTTGTTCTCTGCTTCATGACCACCATGATGTAAGAAGCATTCCTCCACAGCAGGCCTTTCCACCATGCTGTTTCTGTATTCAAACTTGTCAACCTAGATTGAAACTTCTAAAACTTGAATCAAAATAAACCTCTTTCTTTAAATTGTGGGCATCAGTTATTTCGTCCCAGCATAGAAAAAGTGACTAAGAGATCTATCTTCCATATTGTATACAGCAGTGACTTGGAAGAATTTATAATACCCTTAGTTTGGGGAGGGCTTTATGTCATCTAATACATTCTAATTTCCTTTGATGACAAAAGTCAACAATTTCATCCTTAGCCTGTAAGAAAAATGAAATATGAAGCATTTATATAGTAAATGAGCAGCCCTCATTTACTTAACACTGGTTGAGCCGAGTCAGCTTCCTCTGGAATCTTCTCTCTCCAGTTATTTCTTCCCTTCCCTTATCTTATTCTAATACCTTCACATCCTCTTATTATTGTATTTTTGCAACTCCTTAAAGGAAAAGCTTGACCATTTTTGAATTTTCAATAGCACCAAACAAACACACTAATGAGTTTATAGTACCAACATAAAAAAGACATCTCTGAACATATTTTTGAATGCTTTATTTTAAACAGCAGTTTTCTGAATTATTTCAGAGTTGGTGAAACAAGAAGGCAAAAGGTTAGATCTTAGGAAAAGCTGCACTACCTTCTCCTGTAATCCTTCTCTTTAATTAAGTCACCTACAATGTCTTCCAGTTAGCCACAGCTTATGCTCAATAAGCATCTCATCTCTCCTCCTATTTCAATATTCGCACAGCCTTCATACCCAAATAACCTTTGCTAAATCTTCACAAGAAAACAATCTAATTGTTCCTAGGAAAGTGCAGTCAATTTAGTTAATAGGAACAAAAATCAGCCCTCTATTTCAATCTTCTTGTTTCCTTCTCCTCAAAACTGTACTCTAGTAATGTTCTTATTCCAGTATTACAATCCAACATAAAACTTTCCCCATATTTAGGCCAAAAAACTATCTAGGTGCCTTTGAGCACAGGTTTTTATTCCCCAGGTTACTGATAAAGCTAACCTTCTGATCTGGAGAAGTGTCAGAACTATGCCTTTTAAGATCTGATTGGACTTAAAGAATTAGGATATATAAAAATTAATAAATGGGGACTTAAACTTCACCAGTCCTTTGGGCTTGACATAGATATTAAAGCACAAAGAAATGACCAAAGCCAAGGATGAACTTTAGGTCACAAAATGTTCCAAAGCTGTACTTACTTTCTCCAAAATCATCCTGGTGGACTGTCTGCTCCATGATTGGTTCAAAGTCTTTTGTCATCATAATCAGAGTCTGCTGACCTTAGAGAGGAACAAATAAGAATGACTGTGAAAATAAGTAGTAATTTAACACATTTGCCATTCCATAAGAATCTACAGTACTACAAGCCTTAGAACCACAGTGAAGGCAAAAAAAGACACACTGAATTACAAACAAAATGTTTTGACCTAAAAAAAAAAAAAAAGCTTTGCGTAGGTAAGTCATCTGGTCCTTATTCTCAGCTATTTATGTGTGAAAAGCTGAACACTAAAAAAGTTCACATACTCCTCCCCCACTAAATCAACAGTCCTAGTTTCTAAGACATCTTTTCAAATATGCATCTTTGTCAGGTATAGTGGTGTACACCTATATAATCCTAGCACCCGGGAAGCTGAGGAAGGAGGATCACTTTGAGTTTGAGGCAATCCTGGGCTCCACAGTGAGTTCAAGGCCAGCCTAAACTACATAGTGAGACCCTGTCCAAAAAGCCAAAAACCAAATCAAACCAGAAAAAAAAAAAAATCTGAGCGTAAATATGCATCTCTGCAGTGGTGCTGGTTTACTGAACTCATATGGAATGAAGAGACTCTCAGAAGAAAAAAAAAAAAAAGAATACAAGAAACATTGGTAGAATTCGTTTACATAATAATTCTCAGTCTAAGAGCAGGTTAAGATAAATACAGTAACATTTTAAAACTACAATTGTGGGCTTAGCAGCCTCATTAAGTTTTATGACTTGTTTTCCATTCCCCAAAACTGGAAAAGTTACATCAAACAACTTTATATACAGAGGTAAAATTTAAATCAGAAAAAGCATATTCTACATTATAATGCTAGTATCACTGTTCAAGGAAATCTTTTGAAGCTTGAGTACCCCATAAGACATTAAGAGTAAAGTTTTAGGCTGGGGATTTAGCTCAGTGGCAGGCACCATGTAAGTGCAAAGTGCTGAGTTCGATCCCTGGTATTGAAAAGAAAATAAAAAGAGTAAAAGTTTTATAAAAAGCCAGACAGGCACCAGTGACAAGCTTACCTGTGGCAAGGAGCACCAGCTCTTGGTCAGGACTCCAGCTCATGACAGAGATGCCACTGGCCACGCTCCCAACACATTCCAGCTGTCACCAAGAAAATTCAAAAGGGAAGTTCAGGACAATATCTCAGTAAAGATTTACTATGGCCTTAATCAAAAAGACATGCAGAGAGGTAAAGTTATCCAACAAACACGTCTTCAGTAACAGGGATCAAGTAGGTCATTAGGCACATGTCTTAGAATAGGTACCCCATTCTTCCCGGCCTGTCTCATGAGGGAGATAAAACCACGAGTTTTACAGCAGGATTAGGGTTATAAATGAAGTCTTCAGTGGGTCTCAACAGGGAATAACAAGGAGCTTGGAGAGTCTAAGGAAGTTTTTTTGTGAAGACATCTTGAAAAGTGAAAATAGAGCCAGGAAAGAAAAAGATCAGTAGGAAAAACAGTGTCGAAGCACAAAAACAGAGTGTTAAAAATCAGCTGCATGCAACTTGCCCCTAAGGTATACATGTACATAGAAATGAGGGAGGGATGAAGCTGAAAGGGAATCTGGGGAACAGATAGTTAAAGGTGTTATAAAGCACAAAAGGAATGTGAACCCTGTCTTGTAGACAACTGAAAAGACACAAAAGGTCAGGATCAGCACCATTAAGTGGAGATAGGTGAACTGGATGAGTTTAGTAACCAGGAAAAAAGTTCTACAAAATGTTTTGAAAGTAAATATCTATTTCTTAAGTATTAGAAAAGTTATACATGAATCATTCTCATACTTCTCACCAAAAAATGACTAAAGTTTATTAATGTAGTAAACAGAATAATGATTAAAAGTGAAGGTGCCATATTTAGAGTATAAGAGTTTCAGCCCCATCTGTTAATTGTCTTAAAATATGCTTGAAAAGATAGTGCTTACTTTTATGCTTATATAGTTCAGGGAATCTAAACAGCTAATCAGCATTCCTAACAGAAAACTTAAGCCATATAAACATTTCTAACACTTTCTAAATTGAGAAACAAAGATTACAATCCAGAAATAAAGATTATTACCTGCAGATACCATATAACATACACTACATAATGGACAGTGTTTATTTATTTTTTAAATTCTAATTTGGAATGTCCCAATTGGTCTAATTAACAGGTATAATAGACAAAACTGAGGTTTTAAAAAAATCATGAAATACACTTACAGCCATGCCAAAATTTTTTTATAAAGAAATATATAATATGGAGATTATAATTTATAAAGTTTAAATGTTATGGCTATAGATTTGAAAACCTCAACACAAGTAACTTGGTTGAGAATGCTTAAGACTCTCCTCATCAGATTCATCTACTTACCTGGTGTGTGATGAGATTGCAAAGTATAACATCTCCAGAGGCTGTGGCCACACACACAGACTCCTGATCTAGCAAGTCTTGAATACCAACAATGCAGCCACTTCCATCCTCTGGAAGAAAGCTTTCTGCCACCAAAGAAATTTCATTTTTCACCTTTAACCAAAACAAACACATAAGCAAGTTAACCTATTCTACTTTAAGAACAATCATATTTCCAAAAATAACATATTTCAAATGCTTCTTGTAATAACGTAAAAGCTTTCAATTTTTTTTTTTTTTAAGATTAAAAACCAAACTTTCATTTGATTGCTTTCCACTGGCCATCAGTTTCCCCTCACAGAAAAGGTCAGAGATATAACTGATGATAGCTTCATGGAAGTGGTAGATCTCACATAGAAGGATACTACATGGAAATTTGGCAGAGTAATACTCATAAAGTTGATCAAGTAACTAAACGTAAAGGTTTCTCTCCCTGGCAAATTCACTGTAAACAAATGGACTGAGCTGCAAGTGATCACCAGCCAAAACAAAAATGCATTTAGTTGCTAATGCTAGAGGCATAATAGGTTCACACTCCATGGCCTGGGCAGCTTCATCTTTCAATGATTTGTCTGAAACGGACTGGGTAAATAGTTGGTCAACAGACAGGAATTTGGTATCTGATAAGAAGGTTCTTCTCCAAATCAGTAGTTTCATTGGGTTAAAAATCTACAAGTCTTAAAAGAACCTCAGTCCTTAACTGTGGTTCCTAGCTGTTGTTTTGCATGCATCAGGTGTTCAAGATCTTCTGTAGAAACTGCATCATTTATTACTTTTTATATGACCACTGGTTCCAATCCAAAGTCAAAAATTACGGTTTGGCAAAAAGTTACAAATATTTCTGTGTTTAAATGCTATTCTAACTTTATACACATAACAATCTAATGCACTTTGGGCCATCTTTTCTCCTATCCATTCTTGACAGTTTTCTGGGACTTCTTGTGATACCTGGGTTGCACTGTCTCAAGAAGATATTGCAACAATACTAAAATGAGGATGATGAGCATCATAAAGCTACATGATATAGCGTTCTTGGAGGCTTACAAATGAGAGCAAAAGTCCACATCTGATGAGATTCTTTGGTGTTGACAGTAACAGACAAGTCAGTATTATGCTCTATCTTTATTCCTTATACTTCACCATGCACTTTCTCAGGAGATAAAGAATTCATCCATTATTCTATCAAGGTTTCCATGTAACTGCCTGAGAGCTGTTTATTCTCAATTTGCTGTTTCAGTTTTATCAACTGTGAAGCTTATATTTTCTGCCATTCTGCTAGTTTTTCTGGGAATGTGCTGAAGTACAATGGGCACCATAGGTACAGATTCCTTGCTCCAAAATCTTACAAAAAGTATATTCCTCACTGCTTGTGATTTTCTTGGTGGTGGGAGGAAATGCTAACCACTTTACAAGGCCTCTCATCTAAGTCTTCCACATAATAATCAGAGAGGACTTTACTAGTTGCTGTCTCTGTTTCTATAAGAAGTGCTTTTAGTTTTGTCCAATCTTTTGTTACCACCCCACTCAGGGACTCTCTTGTTAAGAAACTTGGCAAGTATGGAGGATACAAGTTGGAGCTTTCCTTTCAGATGCATGCAGGAGAGCCTGGCCCAAGACACCCTTACCCTTGGCCAGTCCTTCTTCCAGCATATACCTACAATCTTCATCAGCTTGCCCGTAGTTTTTCAGTTGGAAAAATGAGATGATTCTGTAAAGAAGATTCTCAATTTTGGAGGTATTCTATCTCCAGTGGACACAACCCTATGAAGTCAGCCATGGAGTACTGGCTGAGAGAAAGGAGGGCCTCTGTGCCGTGCTTGAGGCACATGTCACAGTCCTGCCTCTTCAGTGACTCATATGATTGCTGACATGACTTTTCAGCTCTTCTGCCTTCCATAACTTAAAGACAAAAATCCTGAAGTTCACTACACTGTGTTTCACCCAAATAGCCCATCAGAGCTCTTTATAACTTCTTACACATCTCACCAGCACTGTAGTTCACTAGTGATAGGTTACTTCATCCAATTCCTATCATTACTTTCTAGCCATCTTGGATCGCCCAAACTTCATTTGAGAAATATTTCAACTCTCACATCTTTAACAAAAACAAGTGCCAGACATGCTGGTACATGCCTGTAATCCAAGCACTGGGAGGCTTATATAATAATAATCTTATAATAAGCAAAGCAAATGTTCAGAAAAATACAAATTCATTAAGGCATAAAGGAAGACTGCCCGGGAGAAGGAAATTTGGAAGAAAACAAGTCAAGGATCATACCAAGGGCTAGCATCTCCATCAATAACTTACTTCTCTTGTGACAGGATCTACTTCTATCAGTCCACATTCTGAACCAATGAGCACAGTATTCTGTTCAGTTCGGAGTGAGAAGCACTGAGGTTTCCCTGATGCTTGAATATCCTTGAACTCCAGAGTCCGAAGCAACTTTAGATTTCGCATGATGAAGCAATTCCTGAGAGAAAGGTACAAATTTCCCTCAATGAACCATTAATGCCTAAAAGAGAAAGGACAACTTAATAGTGATGAATATAGAATAGCCATATCATATAGAATAACTCATGGGGTAGAAAAATAGTAACTAGAATAAGCAAGAAAAAACCTAATTATTGCAATACATACCCACATGCAGATGTGTGGCAGCAGTCTGCTATAAGCTGTGATTACAAAATGGGAGTTCTAGGGCCTAGAATTTAGCTCAGTGGTGCTGCTGCCTGCCTCACAAGAGCAAAGTCCTGAGCTCAATCCCCAGTACAAAAACAAAAACAATACAAAACAAAAACCCTGGGAGTTTTAGAATGTATTTTATGCTTTCACTATGCAGGAGAGGCAAGATTCTCAACTTCAGAGGTTTCTGTGCAAAAAAAATTTATTATCAGTTATTCTTGAAGAAAGTTGAAAAGAACAAAATGAATAGAAATCTTTTTTTTAAATATCAGGGTATATTTATAAATTGACAGATACATAAAATCACAAGAAAAACAAAACATTAATTTGAACTATACAAAAATACCCACATGCTGGCAGTTGATGGAAGTCTGGAAACAAATGACTTCAGAATCTACGAAGTACATTTATTAAGAACTAGCTTTATACAGTACATTCATAAAACTGAAATCAAAGGGCTGGGGACTTGGCCCAGTGGTTCCACCACCTGCCTCGCAAGCACTAAGGGCCCAAGTTCGAATCCTGATACCAAACAAACTGAAATCAAAAATAAAAATAAAAGCATTTACTATTCTCAAAAGGAAAAGATACTGTGAAATAGTTTGCTTCAAAATGATGTCCAATATTCTGAGATGACTGATGACCTGACATCACTACTTCCTTTTCCTGGCCAGGATTTTATACAATAGAAAAGGTGAGAAAAGAATGTTAAATAGGACATATACTTTGGTCTGGCAAAATGGAGTCTTATTTTTTAATGCAGATAATTACCTGAGTAGGAAAAAACATACTATTGTGTTACATATTTATATTCTGATTGCTTCAGGTTTATGATGGAAGTCCCTAACATATTTTGGGGTGGCAATTACACAGGCCACAGTGACCTTACTGTCAATCAAACTAATACAGGATAAATTCTCTCATCTCGGCAGAGAACAATGATGAGTCAATAATCCTTACAGTACAAAGAAAATAATGTCAAGTATAATCGTAATGATACAACATAATATGGGTTAAGAGGCTGGGCACGTGGTGGGTATGCTTGTAATCCCAGTAATTTAGAGGCTGAGGCAGGAGAATCACTGTTCAGAGCTATCCTGGACTACACAGCAAGACTCTGCCTCAAAAATAAAACAAGAGGAAGGCAAGATCATATAAGGTGACAGTAAAAGAATCAAGATAAACAATAATTTTACTAGTTTTGGTGACATATTTAAGAACTTCTGAAAATTTGAACCAAACTATACTAACTATGCAAATTTTTAATTTATATCTAATTCAACATATACAGCTTGAGTTTTTCAAATATACAAACATTACATCTTTCGTCTGACATAACTGAAAGGCAGATTTGAAGTGGTAAAATGCATGGCAAGGGGAGTAAGCAAGAGTGAGTAGCAAAGGATGCAGACAGAGGGCCAGCTGTCTTAATTTCCTAGGTGGTTTCTCACCATGGTAATAATCATACTGTCAACTCTTAAAGGCCCCATTCCAACACTGTCACACTGAAGATTAAATTTCCAACATATAAACTTCGGAGGACACATTCAAACCATAGCATATGCTGTCACTGTGGCACTGATTAACTTCCATTTCCCTCCCTGGGAATTTGAATTCTATTCACCAACAACCTGTGCAGCCCTGGGATCCATAGATCCCAGAGTAAGACTGTAGGAGGGTAAAAGCAAAAGGAGAGGACTCACTCGCTTCCATTATCTTGCCGATCCCATCACTGTCACCCCACCAGTGGGCCTATCAAAGGCCCTCATTTTCAGTCTCTCGTGCTTCCATGAGCACCCTCATCACCCCAATTTCCAGTGGCAGGAGTATCATTCAAACAGTAACCACACAAAACATCTAAAATCTAGCCTTGTGGGTCTCCTCTTCTCAACTCCTGAGTGCCAACCCCTAAAATGTGAGTCCCAGCTGTACAGTGCCTTTCCTCCAAGGTTTAGGCTCTGATAATCCAACACCTTCCCTTGTTTTGTGCCCCAACCCTAGCTATATTTTGTAGCTGCTTTCAGTTTCTCTTGTTATTTCAATCCTCCTTTCACTTTTTGTTCTTCCATCAGTTAAATAACCAATTCTTCATATTAAATCCTGTTGAAGTACTGTGTGGTTTCTACTTTTCTGAAAGGACCCCGACAGACAAACATAAAAAAAAAACTTGAATTCTCAAATAACCGAGTCTTTAAATTCATTAACCAGCCAAGATGAGCTCATTAATTTCTCTTGCACCCTAAAGGCATTAGCCTGAAAACTAACTTCTCTCAATTTTCAGACCTATCAGCTTTACTCCCTTAACTGCTCAGAGAAAGATTGTCTCCATTCCTTTCAATAGTAAAATATCTTCCAAACTCCCCTGGACCTCGGCCTGTTAATATTCTTCCTTTGACATCTGCAATCTCCAACTGTCCTGCTTCTTCTGATTCATCTTACCTCAGCCCTTACATGCACTAAAGGTCCTCCACATCACTGTTCACGCCTGGATCATTTAATTTTCTGGCACCTCCTTCATTTTCTTCCCTCGCTCTTGATCAGTCCATCTCTAGGCTAATCATCATGTCCATGACAAGTACCAAGCAGAGCACTAATGTGGTGATCAGACAGAATAAACGCCTAGCCCTGACGAAACTGAGTCTAAACTGAACACTAAATCCACATTATCTCCCGATGTTATCACAAGCTTTTCTCAACACTATCAAATGCAACCTCAAATACAAAGAACTTGTTCTTCTTCCACCAAAGTCAGTCATCCTATTTTGGGACCTGGAATTTTCCCCATTTAAAAACCGTCTTCGCATTTTTTTGCTGGTCATTTCCGTAGCTATCAATATATAGGGGAATTCTGCACTGGATCCCCGAGATTAATTAATTCGCCTTCAGCCATATTATCTAAGCCCTGCAAGGAATTCGGAGGCTGGGTTAAGCGCAGCTGGAGAAGCAGCACTTCATCCGTGGGGGGTGCAGTGCCCCACAGCACCCCCTAATAGTCACGGGTGGAGCTGGTGACAAGTCTGCAGAAAGGATTTAAGGTTGGAGGGATGAAGTGCTCCACACCAGCACTCTACTCTGCCCGGCAGCAGGCAGAGGAGCCTCGGGATCCCCTGCACCCGGACACCTCTGCGCGGACCGGGCCCGGTCACATGACCCAGCTCAGGGTGGGTCACACTAACGCTCACCAAAGCTGCGCCGCGGTCCCCCCAGCGTCTGCCCCCGCCTTCCCGTCACACCCAGCCGTACTCAGGAAGCCAGTCCAAGACTGAGAACGCGCCTCTCTGTCCGAGGCTCCAGAGCGCTCACAGAATTCACTGGATTCCGGGCCCAGAGGCCTTGGACATGCGGGAACACACACCAGAGCCACGGAGGGAATCGGAGCCACTGAGGCGCAGGAGCGAGCAGGCGCGGCCGTGACGTCACGCAGAGCAGGGCGTGGCCGGTTCCCGAGACAATCGCAATGGCCTTTCCTGGAGCCCTGGCCGTGTGGAGGTAGAGGGACTGCGCTGATTGCCCTCTCCTGTCCCTCCGTCTTTCGCTCTCCCTATTGTATTTGAACCTTTACTTTGCCACCGAACCCCAAAGCGTAGTCATCAGTGGAGGTGGGCGGAGCCTGAGCCAGGGAGCCGTGCGCGTGCGTACGACGCCAGCCGCGCGCCGGAAGGCCATTCTCGCAGTCAGCCAGGCAGAGCGGAAGCGCTCGGGTCCTGGAGGGCCCGAAGGGTGGCGCAGGAGATCTCCATGGATACCGAGCCAGCGCCCGCGGAGCCCGTGGTGCCTTCGCTAGTGGATCGTTATTTCACTCGCTGGTACAAAGCTGGTAAGTGTGGAATGGTGGCGGTCTGCTTGGCCGCATTGGCTGATGCACCAGGACTAGACATCAAAAGCCACCTTCCCGGCGCTTCCTCCTCACATCAGAAGGAAGCTTGCTCGGTGTTTCTCTTTAGTCGAGAAGACTGGCATTTGCAAAGATTTAAAGGCTTGAAACAGCAGGACGCCCTCTGGGGTTGGAGAGTGGCGTGTGAGGTCCTTTGTACGTTGCTTTCAGGGAAAAAACGAGCCTAAACTGAGATGCACGCAGATGCACACACACGCGGACCTGTGACCATCCTTGAGTGCGTGGAGGGATATTAGGGGCTAAATCCTATAGGGACTAGCCATTTTAAATATCGACAGAGACAGTGGAAAGTTTGCCTTTCAGGTAGACACACGAAAAAGTACAGTTTAATTTTACTTAAAGGGAAACCCGCCGGCATTGTCCATTCGCCATTTAGTAGACATTCTTGTACTCTTTTGTCTGTCAAAAATAGCAATGGTAGGCGCATCGTTGGAGATTCCTCAAACCCCTACTTTCTCCCTTCCTCTCAGGGATAATAGTGGTTGTTACTATTATTTTCGAATATTGTAGCATATTTTCTGTTAGCCACATTTAGGGTAACCAACAATCCTGGTTCGCCCAAGACTGAGAGATTTCCCAGAGTATTTTACGTTTTTCCGTACTAACATCAGCACAGTCCTGGAAAACATCAAAAATATTAAAAAAGCAGGACTAATCGCTTTTTTCTAATATAAATAATACTCTCATTTTACAGTAAGGATAAAGCAAGACGCAGCAAGGACTCGGTCACCTTAATGTTGAATGAATAATTCTGAGTCAGGTCGGTTCAAATATTTCATAGTAAGCCTTTGGTTTTCAAGTAACGAAGGGATACCAGTGATCTCAGGATGAGCCTGATCTTCATAATTCTATGAATCAAAGAAAGTACCTCATAGTTGTACATATTGATTCAACAACCAACACTCATTTATTATTCTAGATGTCAAAGGGAAACCTGGTGAGGACCATTGTATACTACAACACTCTAACCGGTAAGCAAATTAGCAATTTCATAGTATCGCCTTTTTTCTCCTGATATTTAGTTTCTGTCGTCTCAAACAAAACTTCATTAAATGAACATTCATTAAATTATCTACCATTCCGTTGAAATGGTTTTATTACAGGAGATTACTTGGCAGGAATGAGTGCCTAACCACTCTGAACAAGTAAACTGACTATCCAACCGTCCAGATGCAGGACATCCTCAGTCAACTGCTGCCGAAATAGCCAGTTTGTACCTAACCACTGAACTGCCAGAGCCCCAGGAGAGGCTAGAGTAGATACCTATGTGGTATCCTGTACACACTGGCATGCTTTACTTCTGTCCTATAGCCCAGTGCTACCTGAAGGCCTCCGGTACTCTTTCAACATCAATCTCACGTTCTTCTCTTACTATATTCCCTGTGCTAGTTAGGCTTCAAAGGAAAAAGAGATGATAGTTTGACTAAACAAATGTCAGTTCAGGTATTCTTGTAGCAATAGGAATATTGTGTTACAGGAAAAAGGATTCTGGGCTGTAGTGCCTCACAAGCACAAGGTCTTGATCCCCGCCCCCCGTACCACCAAAAAAAACAAAATTTTTTTTTACCAATCAGTAACACAGGATCAATTTTTTTTTCTCCTTGTAGAATATGTGTCATCACATTGGCAGAATCTCATCCAGTGCTTAAAAGTGGAAAAACAATTAAAAGTATTTCCTATCAGATCAGCACCAACTGTAGCAGACTTCAGAACAAGGTTTCTGGGAAATTTAAGCGGGTATGTATGTGTAATTCTGTGATTATCTACTAAAGTCCTCCATATTTATTTGATTTAAGATGAGTAATGTATGCTCAACAGGTTTGTGTATGTTTCAGGTACTGATTTTAATTGTACTTTAACCCTAAAGACATTCTTAGGCAAAAAAAAAAAAAAAAAAAAAAAAAGAGAGAGAGAGAGATACTTCACAAGGTATAATATCTGTCATATTAGCGTCTGCACCACACTCAGGATGAAGGAAGAGGAAAGCAGGCCTTTGAAAGGAGAACTCTAATACATTTTTTCTGGTTTTACTAACCTGTTATCTCGAGTTCTATAAAATTTAGGCGACTATTTTTTACCATATATTTTCACATATTAATTTTTTAAAAAAGAAGCATTCTAAGAATATGAATCTGAGAAAATATGGGGCATTTATTCCTGCTCTTCTAAAACTAAAACATTGCCACTCTAATAGTTTACCCACACCTACTTCCACACAATGGTCAGTTACACAAAATGTTCTCTTTACCCTGTACAATTCCAGGAAAGAGGACATGTTATCAAAAGAAGGTATTACATGAAGGTCAGTTTGGTTACATATTAAGTGTCCCAACAAACTCAGTGGGTTGGGAAAATTCCTGTGGGTGATTTTCATCCTTTACTGAGTTCATCCTAAGACTTTCTATTAATAATGCTATTCCAAGAGACCCTAATTATGTGCCTTTTACTGACTCTCCTCACTTAGAAAGTATAGGAAGGGATCTACATATTGTGTCTACCACACAGAGTTTTGATGGAATCTCAGAACTGCCAGTTCTTTAGCCTCCCAAACTGGGTGATTGAAAAAAAGAATTCAAAACATTTTGTGGGTTTATTTTTTTCTTTTTGGTGGTATTGGGGATTGAACCCAGGGAGCACTTAAGGGTACACCCCAAACCAGCCTGAGATAGGACCTCACTAAGTTGTTCAAGTTGGCCTCCAACTTGTGATCTTCCTCAGTTTCCTGATCCTGTAATCATCTCCTATACTATTTTAACAGAAATCCAGCTGTAGATGAGCTGAGACAAATCCCTTCTCCTTCCTTCCCAAAGCAGGGAGTCACCCTGATTCTAGTATTTTGAGTAAGTACCAGATGCAGAAGAATGAAGCCAAGGTAGTAATATCTGAATACCATCCCATAATGTTTTGAGTGGCAAATGCAGAAGTCAAAGAATAGGAATTTAACTGCAAATACCTAGGTTGACTACAGGAAAATTCCTGGAAAAGAACAGGGCAGTGCATAAAAACATGTCTGCCTCAGCTCTCATGAGCCTCCTTGTAGGTGCTTGCCAGCACCTTCCCAAATGTACCCATCTAGTGGAGCACAGAAACAGTAGACATACCATAATAGTCAAACAGGTGTATGCATCAAAATGTACTGATGGGTTACAGGATAATGGATGAATTCTTATTTTGCTACTTAACTCTTTGCTATTTCCCATATTTTCCCCAAAGGGTGTCTTTTTTCTCATGAGAAAAACATCTGTTCTTCAAAAAAACTTAGTGATTGACCCAAATAAAGAAGTTCCTTTTCTGAAGATAGGAACAGAATATAAAATTAGGAACCTTAGGGAAATTTTGTACAGAACTGTTATACCCTAAGTTTTACATTATTGCTTTTGGTAAATTTTCGTGGTTTGAAATCTGTATAACTAGCTATATCTAGCTTCTCATTTACAGTTGAAAGAATATATTACTAGTCTATAACTAAACTCATTACTCAGCTGTTTTTTCTATAACCTAGGGTGTTACCTAGTATATATCACTTGTATGTATTCGAACATAGGAACAATTTTCATGTATCATTTTAAGACACCAGTTCCAGGAATAGATCCTATTTTAATAGTGATGGTTATCTCTCAAAGGTAAATGGAAATGTGTATCAATTATTTCTTCCTTTCTGTTACCCAGGGGGCACAGTTTCTAACAGAACTTGCACCTTTGTGTAAGATTTACTGTTCAGATGGGGAAGAATATACCATTTCCAGGTAAGTAACTTTTTAGCCACCATTCAGGAAAATAGTACCTTAACCTCAAATGTCCATATTCACTAAGGAAAAATTCCTGTAAAAATAATTTTTTTTCTTAAAAACAATTCTTTTCAAATAGCTGTGTTAGAGGACGGTTGATAGAAGTAAATGAAAACATTCTCCATAAGCCATCTATTCTTCAAGAAAAGGTAAAAGAGAGGGCACAAAGTACGATTCCATCCTGTACCTTTTTTCAGATTTTTTAATCATTTGATAGTATTTACTGGTCTGTTTCTTTTCCAGCCATCCACTGAAGGCTACATTGCAGTTGTGTTACCCAAATTTGCGGAAAGTAAAAGTATAACAGAAGGTTTACTGACACAAAAACAGTATGAAGAAGTCGTGGAGAAACGCAGTGATGGCACAACAGGTACTTCATGAGGATTGAGGTTCTTAGCTTACCTGACTTAAGCCATCAGTGAATGCACTAGAGAACCAGGACGCGTGAAACACTTCACACCCAGCCATCAGCAGGAGAGGAGGACTCCTTCATTCAACCTAGTTTCCCCCTTTGTCTTATATAAGAAGACCACAGTTGGCAAATAAGGGCTATTTTCTAATTAAAAACAAACACACCTTAGTCAGGCACAGTGGTGCATGCCTATAATCCCAGCTTCTTCCGAGGTTGAGGCAGGAGGATCACAAGTTGGAGGCCAGCCTGGGCAACTAGCTAGACTCTGTCTCTAAATAAAAAGGGGTGGAGGTTTACCACAGCACACTGGGTTCAAACTCCAGTACTGCAGGGGAAAAGAAAGCTAAGTGGCCTTTCTTACCCAATCTGCTTCAGTGTGACAATGTTGAAAAGTCCATTGTTACTTCTACCTCAGCTCCTCTCCCTATAGGTTGTGGCTAAGAGGCAGGAATGTAGTGTGTACACTGTCTCCTGTTTAGGTCAATAGGACAGCCTTCCTCTCTCAAAGGAGAACTGTAATACTGACTTGTTAATGAGAAATACATGAAAATGCTTTGAAAAAAAAAAAAAAGGCTTTTCTAGCAAATGCAGGTATTATAATGCAGGGTTAAGCTGGTTCCTGCAAATAATTCTAGTCACTCAGTCGCATACGTTCTACATACAGTTAACTTCTAGCAAAGAAATTACTGGAGAAGGTCACTCCAAGGTACAGATGCGTTGGAACAGAACAAAGAAGATCACATCATTTAAACTAGAGAAAAACAACATATGGCTATGATTACATACTTAAGTACATTGAATTTCAACTAAAAGAACTTTAAATCTTTTTTTCCCTTAAAGAGAACAAAACATACATATATTTAAATATTCTTGTTTTTACCTAAAACAGTTTCAGGCATAAGAAATTATTTAGTGTATAAACTCCTTTAGTCCCTTATCGTCCTACACTGTTCAAATCATGTTATCCCTTCCCATCTGCATGTGCACTTTTGCAAGTAAAACGTAAAAAATTACTTTTGGTTCACAAGAGAAACTTCTTATAGTCCAAACGTCCGGATGACTGTTCCCTAAATATCACGCACCATACATGACAGATCAAACTAAACACAATGGTGCTGACCTGAAAATATAAGTACAAACCAGTAGATCACTTCAGGTAGCAGTAATTCTTGAAGTTGTCATACAAAACGATAGTATAGTAAAAGAAACTGTATCTATTTTACATATAACACCACATCATTCTAATATTTTTATTCTGTAAAAGAGTATTTTGATGTCAGAATAAAAATCATGCTTGATGATTTTGACAGTTCAAAGAAGTATTTTATAAAGGTCATTAACCAAGTTGTGTGTATCTAATTTCTTCCCAAAGACAATAAAACATTGATTATCTAACTGGTAGTATCATTATTCTTTACGGGACCTTTTATCAACACTGATTTTATGGGTGACTCACAAAATGATCATTAGACCAGCTAACATTTCCACTGCCATTTGGCAACTGATTGACATGACTGATTTCAAGATGAATTTCAAAGTATTAGGATACACACACTGACATGATTCTAGAACAGAGTAAACATACCATAAGGAGAAAACCTGTAAACCATATTCTTCAATCAAAACCTCATCCCACAATACCAAAAAAGCTTTAAACCATACAGTTTAAAAGACTAAAGATGTTTTATTTATTTTATAGTGAACATTCCAATGCCACATATATAAAATATATCATCTAGAATTTAAACAGCTCCTTGATTTCAACATTCTGTCTTTATTTGCCATTCCATTCATCAATACTGAGGAGAGTTCAAAAGTTTTTTAAGCCAGTAAGAAAGGCTTAGTATTCTAGTACTTAGGACTGATTAGCCAGCTATTATAGAGCTAGAACCAGAAAGCCATCTTTTCTTCAAAAGTTGCTTCAGGATTCTGTAGAGTGAATTCCATTATCTTGCTTTAGACAGGAGGGGAGTGACACAGAGCTTCACAGGCAACCCACTGTACACGAAATGTTTGCTAGAAAACAGCATTGGTACTGGCATGGATTATTGCTAATGGGATCTGAGGACCTCTTGTCATGTGGGCAGAGGGGTTGAAGAGTCCACAGGTTTAAGAAAAACCTTGCATTCAAACTACTATGTATTTTTTTGCTGTATTAGTTTTCTAAAATGATAAGCTTAAATAAGGTAGTTAAGATATACTATGCCAGAGTTGAGCACATTCAAAGTAGCTTCTTTGGATTCAGTTGTCCTTAAGACGGGATATTTGGTTTATCTTTTAAAGAACATTATTAGTGCAATGTTCCATTTTAAAATCTCACTGCAATTAGAATTCTAGTAACTACTATGGCATTTACTAGTTGACAGCTTCACATTCTGAAGATCAGAAAATTAAGCAGTTTTCTTTATAAAACTTCAATTTCTGAAAATATAAAATATTGTTTGCTTTTTTAAAATGCCAGTTGTGCCACATGATGTTCCAGAGGTCTGGCCCCAAAAGCTTCTCAAATTTTACTGTCCAGTGTCTTTATTTGTAACTGAGACCCATCTGCTGTTTTCCATCTGAAGCTGGAAAGAGTTAAAACAATTAGTTCCTGCTTTGCTTTTAAGAAAAAAAGACAAGATTAGTAACTTTATCTTTATGCTAATAGTTTAAAATAGAAAAGCTACCTCACCTTCTTCAGCAGTTTATAACAAAGTGAGAGCAGTTGAACCAACAGAGCCATCATGGATCTTGTCTTTGTAATACACTTCTCAACCTACAGTAACAGAAAGCATGCAAATCATACTCTAAAAGTGGCACTTCAACAAACTTTACCATTTATTTAGTTTTTGAATGGTTGATTTCTCCATCATGGCACTCAAGAGATCTTCAAAGGTAAAGATATATGTGCATGAGAGGAATTCAAACCCAGACGACACAGGGATAGGAGTAACTGCCCAGCTGTCTTGCAAGTTTCATGGAACACAAGAATGGGGAGGAAAATGCCTGTTCCACTTCAGGCTGTTAGATCTCCTCAAAACAGTCCAGACAGTGGCAGTGAAACCCCTATTCTGGAGTTCCTTGCACTCTGCACATAAACTGGCATCCCAGATGGAGGTGTTTGTGCCTTAGACCCCCATGCTACCATCTCACAGTATGAGAGAGGAGTATAAAATCAACAAGCATAGTGAGGATGGGTGAGCTGAGAGGCCTCCAGGGAGAAATGTGCCAGTGGAGCGGAGAAGTGGTTGTGTGCTACAAAGCCAGTGAGTGGTTCCAGACAAGGAAAAAGCCATGTTCCTTAAAGAGAGTGCCTGGTTAGATGTCTTTCTAGGGAGGAGCCAACTGAGCCAGAGACTCAGAGTAGCCATGGGTTTGGCTTCATCTCAGGACTCTCATCACCTAGACAGGTGATGCCTTAAGGACTTCAAGGTGGCTGCTCAATGCTTTTGAATTAATCTGTGTCCAGTAAGCTAATGGTTTGGTGTACCTGCTGTTCGCTGCAGACAGTTATAAAGCAGAAAATAAATGATCCTGTCTGTCAAGGGATGAAAAATAAATTTCCCTTCTGTGGATATTAACTTTACTTCCCCCCACCAAAAGCAGCCAGAGCTAACCTGATAAGGACAGAAGCAAGTTTCTCACATGCCCATCTGAAAAACCCATTCCCTTTTACCTTTAGAAATACTTTTTTCTGCAAAGATGTTTTAGTTACTGTCTGGAGCTGGTGGCATAGAGGAATTAGCTTGTTTATTTCCAAGAGAAGCATAAGCTTGTCATCATCTTTCAGCTGAAATGTAATTTAGAAAGTTATAACCACCAAAACTCCATCTTTTATACTTTAAGTACCTTTATATCAATATACTCTCAGAGTAGGTAGACATAGCATTCCCCTCCAGTACCAGGTAGGCTGACGTGTTACCTGTTTCGAAAAAGCTTGTACACTTGAAGTAAGCTTTAATCCTTCTGCAGCAAAAACCTGGTAGAGAGGGAGAGCATCACTATTTTAGGTTGACGTCTTATGGGTAGGTGTTAAGGAATATACTCATAATTTTTATATAGTTTAAAAAATGAAATACATTTTTTAAAAAACTGTGTAATAGACATGATGGCTGAGCATGCTGCCAAACAAGCAAAAGAAATGGAAATCTCAGCCCCAGGATAGCTACAGGGGTAGCAAGAAATACAAGGAGATCAAGCTTTAGGCGCCTCTCACGCAGCCGGCCTTCTTTTACGCCCTTAATCTAGATGCCTAGGCTGCATACGTGAATCCCCTAGAGTGAGCTCTCCTGTAGCTCTCAAGGGCTTGTCATTTCATGTCTTTATTTTAGACTTGTTTTGTAAATAAAGCTGCTTATCAACGAAAGAGATGACTATGTTAAAAAGAAAAAGTCATAGAATTCTAAAGTTTGTTTTGTTTTGTTTTGTTTGTGGTGCCCAGGATTTTACCCTTTCTTCACCAGCATTAACACCTTGGCTATGGTTGGGTACAAAAACTTTAAGCTCAGTCTTGCATGTTTCCCTCTCCTTTGTAAAGGGACACCCATGAGCTTTACATCTAGATACTAACCAATATATATATTATATTTTTTAAACTATAATGTCTGATTCCTTTTCCCACGTATTCCTCCTTGTTCCCCATTACCACCTGCTGCTTCTCATGTCTTCTTTTTCCTTTTAGCCTGCAACCCCCTTGAGTGTAGGATCTATGTCTGTCTCATAGAGTATCATGGTTCTAAGAGAACCTTAAAACCAGTAACTCCCACCAGGCACAGTGTTGCACACTTGCACACCCAGCTACTCAGGAGGCTGAGGCAGGAGGATAGCAATTTTAAAACCATCCTGGACAACTTAGTGAGACCCTTGTCTAAAAAAAAGGGGGGGGGGTGGCGCTGAGCATGTAGTTCACTGGCAGAGCACCCCTGGGTTTTATCTCCAGTACCACAAAATAAACACCTGATAACTCGAAACTCTCCATTTCTAAACCCTGACGGTCTTCTATATTTTACTTCCCTTTGTAGTCAATATGAGCAAAACAAAATACTTGAATCTGATCTTCTCTAAGCTCTGTGTTCCTTATGTCAGTAAACGTGACCATCCTTTATCATGTGGTCAAGTAAAAAACCTTGGAGAACATAATCCTTGTAGAACAAAATCCACCATGAGCTTACCATCACACTTGGGAAAAGTTCTTTCCTGGTCTACAGAGATGTCACTTTCCTCTGGCTCATTCTACTTAGCTACAATTGTTTCCTTACTCTTCAGGTTCATCTAGCCCTACCCTTAGATTCCAGGGCCTTTGTCTTTGTTCTGTCTGAAATACTGTACCCCTCTTAGCCATTCTCTAAGGATGTTACATCCTTAGAGAAGTTTCTGACTATCCCTGTGTTAACTTCCTATGTGATTTTATCTCCAATAACTTACATATGTGCATTAGATACTTTGTATTGTCTCTGTCTTCCCACTAGAACATAAGCTCTATGAGAACCAAGCTTTCCTTAGTCCTCTTTTTTCCATAGGGCTCTTAATCTGACACATAGTACAAGTTTAGTAAAAAGTTTTTTGAATGAAAGATGCCATTTTATGGTCATCACAGTTGGAGAAAATCAGCAGGCATTGGTTTAATGAATAGGCTCCTCCAGAAGAAAATGAATAGTGCACAGCTGAGAATGGACATGGACCAAACTCTAGAATAAATCCCAGATTTAGTCCAACTGCTTTAAGGGAAATAGCTCATTTGTAGCCTACTTCACAGAAAAAATATTTTCTGCATTTCTTCTGCAATGACTGTCATCTGCTTAAATTGCAACTGTTTTCCTGAAAAGGTTTGGTTAGATAGGGCCAGGATTTAGCTCAGTGGTTCCACAGACTGCCTTGCAAGCGCAAGGTCCCGAGTTCAATCCCAGGTACCGAAAATAAATAAATAAATAAATAAATAAATAAATAAATAAATAAATAAATAACTAACTAACTAACTAACAAGTCAAAAGCCTTTCTAGAACTCTGGAAGGTACAAGGGATTTGTATCTGTTTACGGGTATTTTCATCTACTTTGGAAAACTTACAGCAACTACTGTCAAAAAAGCCTATTCAACTTTATCCTCTTAATATTTCTTTCTAATGAGACAACCAAGAAAGCTCCACAAAATGTTACAGCAAACCTATCTATCTACCTTCCTACCACTCCATACACCACACAGGTGGGCATACATGCAAACATTGCCACATGACATATCTCTTTAAAAAACCACTTACAACCCACTTTGAGGGGTCACGGATTTAATGCAGTGGTACCGCACCTGTCTTGAAAGTACAAGGTCCTGAGTTTGTTCCCCAGTACCAAATAAACAAATAAATAACCACCCACTTTGAGCCGCAACTAAAGTAGTAGCATAAAATGAAAATAAAGCATACCTCTAGGTGATGAATTAAATCCTGGGAAGTTTTCAGTGGCCCCTCTCCTCTAAAGTCAAATGAGTTTTTAAGAAAGTTTAAAAAATGTTATTGCTAGTATATTGGCTGTAGAATATTAAAATTTTAGAGCATTTTGTGCATTAACAGTTCACAAATTTTGTAAAATAATATGAACAGGCTCATAACTTTTTGTTTTTACTTTTCTGAGTTTATTCTAAAAGCAACTTAAATATTTATTACTTTTAAAGGTACATTTCACCCCAGAAAACAATGTATATTTTAATTTTATAATGTAAAGAAATTTACAATCGACAAGTTATTTTTTAAGTTCTATTAGTCCTTTTTACTTTTTCTTTTTCATTTTGCTCCATGAATTAAATATATGAGATGTCTTAACCAAAAGGCCTTTATTGGAAAACAGGATCAGGCCAAAAATTAGGAAATTCTCACTTCTAACTGTAATCCCAACTCTAGTAGAAACTCAGTCTGGTTTTGATGAAACATACTACTTAATCTTTAATTCTAAATGTAGAAAATAGTCATAATAATACTTGTGCTACCAGTCTCATCAGGAGACTGAAAATATCAGATTATAAACTACTAAGAAGAATTAAGAGCTCTAAAAAATGAAAAGTAAATTACAAGAAAGAGAATAAATGCATTAAGGAGAACAGTGGAGGTTAGAGATGTAGCTCAGTGGTAGTGTGTTTGCCTAGCAAATGTAAGGTCCTGGGTTCAATCCCTAGTATCCTGCTTCACCCTCCAAGAAGAAGAGCTGTGGACTGGGCATAAATCAATGCTACATTCTAGTAGCAACCAGCTCTGCCACTTAATAGCTATGAAATGTCAACAAATCATTGCTCTTCTCTAATAGACAGGATCAAATGAAATCATAAAGCATTAACCACTTTAAAATTGTTAAGACTGGACTCAGTATGCAGCTCAGTGGTAAAGTATGTGTGAGTCCCTTCATTTAGGCCCTAGTATAGCAAAAAAGAAAAAAAAATGTAAGGCTCTGGTAAGCTTGATACTTTTTAAACTATAAGGTACTATAGAATCTTAAACATTTAATTATTAATAAATATGTTATTACATATAAATTATTGAGAAACCATATGTTATTACAGTGCACTTAAACAAAAGCCTGAAAAAGGGCTATAAGATTGCCCAGGAAAACCATAAAGCTTGATACTGTGAAAGCCAACACTTAGTCTTAGAAAGAAGTACCTGGGGAGGTTGGTGAACCACAGATTTTAAGAAAAAATGGAAAAGATTGCTAGGGAAAACAGGCATATAAACCTCATGGGGAAAAAGAAACCAACCTAAAAAAGAAAACTAACATTTTTACCACAAGTAGATAATTACATAACCAACACTTGCCTAAATGATACAAGGTATTCCCTTTCTTTCAAGTCATGATTCCTAATCACTAACCACATTTCAGAACAAGTCTCATTCCACAGAGCTTTAGTAATTCCTACCCCTCATGGATCTTAACCTTGATGGGATGTACTCTATCCTTTACCAAAACCTACTGTTTATTCTGACTTGGAAACAAAAAATGCTGACCATATCACCCTGAAATGTTTTGAAATAAGAACTAATTAACACACTCAGAACAGACTGTAATTTGTATGTCTCACTGCCAGGTGGCTGAATAGATGGACCCCCAGTGGGGCACCACTGGGCAGCATGGGCCAGTCCCTTCTGGTGGGACAAGCTGCTTGATGAGACAGTCATGCATATACCACCAGTGGTTCAAGCTGCTAGGAATGTGCTAAACAGGCAGTTATAATTTTTTAAAAAAGAAAACAAACAAACAAAAGATAGACACCACTTGCCTCACAAGCACAAGGTCCCCAGTTCGATCCCCAGTACCAAAAAAATAAAAAGCTGGTGAACTCTTTGGGAAGATTTTATATATTAAACTATGTTCATTAAGTTAATGTATTTTTCCAGTTTTTATTTAAAACTTAAAGCATCATTTTCATGTCAGTTATTGATAACTAGCATGAGTCCAGCCAAAAGATAAAATGTTTGTTATTTCAGTAGTCTGTGGAAATTTATTGTACATAAACACAAGAGTTTCTTTGTGTTCTTTTGCAGACTTGAGCCATCATATTTTAAGAAGGAATCTACTAGGAAAGGAAGCTAATAGATACGCTAGAAAGACTCAATCGCAGGAGAACCTTGATTAAGAACAAAGGAAGGAAACCAACAAGTAGGAATAGTCTCTACATAATAAGGCATTAACAAATGATAAACAGCAGCAACATTATGAACTCCTATTATTTCTGCCTTCTCCCTTGAGAAAAATTATCTACCTGGAAAAAGTAGGAGGCAGAAGACATCATCAAGAGGAAAATGAAGTTTCTTAGGTAGGAAATGCTTCTGCACTACCCCAAATCTTCTTTATAAGTGAATCCGTACAAATACAACATCCCTCATCACTCCCCTCTAGTGCCTCACCTCCTCCTCCCATTGAAAGGGTAGACACGCATTTTTTCAGTCTTTCTAGTAACTTTGCAAAAATAATTTGGATAATTTAGCTCTTCCTTTTCACTATTTTTACCTGGAAGTAAAGCTGCCTTAGAGAGATACCAACATGTTTTTTCCAACATGTTTATACAGACACATTCTGCCCCTGTGAGGTAAGATGTCTTGGTTTGGCTTGCAGTCCTGGGGATGGAATCCAGAGCCTTCACACTAAACTACATCTCCAACCCTTTCTAATTTTAAGACGGGGTCTCACTAAATTACTGAGTTGCTGCCTAGGTTGGGCTTGAACTCGTGATCCTTCTGCGTTAGCCTCCCAGAGTGCCAGGATTAATTACAGGCATATACCACATACCCAGCTAAGGTAAGAATTCTTAAGTCTAGGGCTCATTTTTTAAAAACCTACTTTACCTGTGGGTATAAACTATCTTCTACAATACCAATTTTATTAATCTTTCAAGACAAAAATGAATAGGAAGTCAGCTAGAAGGTATCAAATATTGCTATCAGTTATCTTCCATGTTTCCAAAAAAGAGGAAGCCAGATTACAAAAAGTTAATGAAAAGTTTGAAGTTGTTTCTTGATAAAATACTAGAAGATAATTAAACTATTTTAGCTAAGTACAGTTACTACACCAGTATAGACTACTGTAACAAAAGACCATGGAATATGGTCAACACTAACTTCAATAGGCATTTAATTAAGAGCCTTGTAACATGGAAAAGACAGAGAACATAAGAAAGATAAAGTTTGGGAATTCTCATCTCCATAATGAATGTTGACTTATGGAAATTTGGCAACCTACAGAGGCAGGCCTCACAGCTTCATTCATTGGTCTGCGTTTAATCGATCACTGTATAAAGTCATAGAAGGCATGCTCTCAGGTGGGTGTGATTGCACATACCTATAATCCCAGTTACTCGGGAGTCTGAGGATCACAAGTTCAAGGCCAGCCTAGCCTAGCCGATTTAGACTGTCTCAAAAAATAAAAAGCGCTAACGATGTAGTAGAGTGTGGCGGTATATACCTGCAGTGCCAGGCTGAAGCAGGAGAATTGCTAAGTCCAAGGGCTGCCTGGGCTATATAGTGAGCTCAAGGGCATCTAAGACTACATAAAGAAATAGATAAAAAGAGTTGAGAATGTAGCCCAGTGGTAGAGCACCTCTAGGTTCAATCCCCAGTTCTGGAAAAAAAAAAAAGAAAAAATAAAAGGCATGTTCTCTAAACATACTGATGCTGACTGAGACACACTGATATGCAAGATGATGAAAGCATAATGTAAGATTATGGAAAGAAGGGAGCAGAAATCTAAAAGAGGATCCTTTCTAAATCTATCTCCTAATTAAATGTGTCTTATTGCTGCATCTGCTGAAGTAAATTATCATAACTGCTTGTCTTTTTTTTTTTACCATATATTCACTGACATTACCCCATCAATGATTTAACATAGCACTTTGTCTTTTACCACATATTATTATACTGAATATAGAAAATCAAAATGTAACCACATTACCTAGTAAATAAATATAGAGAATAGGCCATCCTGGACATGTTCCGGCCATAACGAATAATCTCATTCTCCTGATCTTCCCACTTCTCAATTTCGCAGTCAGCATCAGAAGTAAGCAAGCCCAGTTTAAATCCAAGCTTTGCTATCTTGGCTTGGTCCTACAAATGTACATCATATTCACAACCTTGTCATGACTGACGTGAAAGGAAGATTAGATGTAAGACAATTACAAAGGAAGAGGTCTTACCTCAGAGTCAGGCTTCTCTGGCTTCAGTGATTTGTTTACGTTGTTTTTCTGTGATAATAAGAAGATTACAGTATCTTAGAAGGTAGTGTACTTAAAAGGAAATTCAATAGTAATAGCTAGCCTAACTTGTAATAAAGTCTAATTTTAACCCAACCAGCTTATAGTTAAATTACACTAAGTAGTTTAATTAAACAACCGACCAGTTGCAAATATTCGACTAGTATATGAGTTCACATTTGAGTAGGTTGTTGGTTTGAAATCTGTGACCAGCCAGGAGAGCAGAAAATTGTCCTCTCCAGCTCTTGTCCTCTGTTAGCAGCTGCTCCTCGAGGGCTTCAACACAACTTCTGTAATTTTTGGACTCCAGTAATAACGTCCCCCCAAATCTCCCTAGATTTTCCATTGCAACAGGTTTATAGCTATTCTGTTACCAGTTTCACTGCAAAACAAAACTACCTCTTCAGTTTTTCTATGCCATGGTTTAGATTTGCTCACTGAACACAGATTTTTGAGATTTTAAAAATGATATTTACTACTGAAAACACAGGCGAAATAACAGGATAGAAAATAGGTATATGGAGAGAAACTATAAAGTTATACACATTCACACACATAAAAACAAGTTGTCTCTTATCTCCTGAGAAAATAAACAATGATGTCCCTGGCTCCTCCTTTGATAGCTGCATAGTCCTTCTGTCTTTCCTTGATCTGGTAGACTATCGTGCAACTGATAAAGCATTCAAGAAATTTATGGATAGTCTCAAGGTTTTTAGGTTTTGTCTTATTTAGAATTTTACACCTCACCCCTTTAGTTGTATTTTTATTATTTTTACAAGTCATTATTATTAAAGTATTTAATGAAGGCAGGGGTGGGGGACTGCCAGAAAGGGCCAATAAACCCTCTTAATGACATGACCAAGCTTGCCTGCCATCTAGTGGACACTATTTTGGAATGCAATCAGATGCAGCAGTGTTGGTTATAAAAGGTAAGAGTTTGAGCCTCTCAAATAGCACCAGCCTGCAAATCTGCTTCCTAAAAAAGATAGCTACAATTTTCTAGGAATTTACTTACACATTAGCTAAAGGAATGGTTCATGATTCTGAACTGTTACTAAATTTTAAAAAATACAGCAATTCAATAAAATCTTTGCTCCACTGAACCAATTAAAAGCTCTGTAGTATTTTTTCTATTTTAAAAAAAATTATTTTGGGAGCTAGATGGTGGCACATGCCCATAATCCTAGCACTCAGGGGGCTGAGGCAGGAGGACTACATGCAAGATCCTATCTCAAAGAAAAAAAAAATTTTGTACTAGCTCTAAGTTATAGCACTTGCAAAAAGTCACTTACCCTCGTATGCTTAAACCCAGTAGGATATTAGCTAAGATACTTCCTAGCGGGGTTAGGTTGGATAGAAAACAAAACAGGCAAACTTCTATCCACAATTTCAAAATGTTCTGAGGATAGCTTACTACAGAAAAACCATCTTCCAAAAATGCCACAGAACTCTTTTGCAGTTTACTTTAATAACAATGATTTGTGGGCCAGGATTTAGCTCAGTGGTGCCGTTGCCTTACTCACAAGCACAAGGCCATGAGTTTGATACCCATCACAAAAAAAAAAAAAAAGAGCGAGAGAGAGAGATTTGTAAAATTTAAAGTAAAAAATAATAAAAATACAACTAAAAATAAAGATACTGAACTGTTATGATTGCTTCCTCACTAGCTACATTCAGTTTTCTAATGTTATTTCAGCATTAAATGTCAGACTCTTCAGAAAACACGCTAATTAGTATCAGTGTATTAGGAAATACACCATATGCCCTTTTATAAAACCCGGGCTTTATCATCTGTCCTTCCGCCACTCCCCCACCATTTCTATATTCCCATTCCCAGATACAGGGGCTCTGTCTTCTATCTCCTCACTGCCAGTTCTCTCTTCTGACACTATCTGTTCCTCACCAATGTTGTTATAATCACCAATCAACAAATTCTCTCTCCTCTCTAATCATTTTCTGAAACCTGTACTCTCCAATACAGGAACCACTACCACATGTGGCTAATGAATACCTGAAATGTGGCTACTCTGATTAAGATGTTGTGTGTGTAAAACATACACAGAGTGGGTAGACTTCGACTTAAGATGACAGAAAGACTAAGAGGCATCCACCATTATGTTGATTACTTGTTGACATGATAATATTTGGCATACACTGGATTAAACAAAATATGAAATTCTACAATTTTCTTTTTAAAAATATGGTTACTACAATATCTCACCCCAGAAAGAATGGCTGCTATGAAGAAATCAACCAATAACAAATGCTGGCAGGGCTGTGGGGAGAAAGGAACCCTTCTCCATTGTTGGTGGGAGTGCAGATTGGTGCAACCACTGTGGAAATCAGTATGGAGATACCTCAAAGAACTAGGATTAGAAGTTGCATTTGACCCAGCCATCCCTCTGCTGGATATGTTCCCAAAAGAATTAAAAGAATCATACCATAGTGATATATGCACACCTATGTGTATAGAAGCACAGTTTGTAACAGCTAAAATTTGGAAACATCCCAATTGCCCATCAACTGGAGACTGGATAAAGAAGATGTGGTTTTTCTGTAAAATGGAGTACTACTCAGCCATAAAGAATGAGAAACTGGAGTCATTTATAGCTAAATGGATCCAGATTGAGGCCATACTCTTAAATTAAATAAATAGGACACACATGTGTAAATACCAAATAGTTTTATCTGGTGTGAAAAACAAAGTGTAAATAAGGATCAAAATGTATAACTGACATTGTGTAATAGGAAGAAAATGTCTAAAAGAGTAGGGGAAGTTGGAAGGGTAGGGAAAAGGTAAAAAGGGAAAGGAAAAAATATGTGAAAAGGAAAAACATGGAAACAAAGTCTGCAAACAGGGAAGGGTGGAGGAGCTGAAGGGAAGGCTGGGGAATGGGGAAAAATAAGAACCAAGTCAAGTCATGTAAAGGTGCAAGATCCCAATGATGAATGTAACTATATTGTATATAAACTTAATAAAGATTTTTAAAATCTTAAATTATGTATGTGCTTTGAACTATACTTCTGTTGGACAGTCTGAGGTAGCCTGTCAGAAAGCATCCTGTCTTTTTCATTGACTCAGCAAATTATCAAATTATTTTCTGAAGATTAAACTTGTGCCAGGCAGTTCTAGGCGATAGGAATGCCATACTGAAAAAAATATTTTTTAAATCCCTACCTGTGAAATTTATTATTTTATTTTAGCTTTTTAGTTTTTTTTTTTAAACAGGGTCACACTATGTAGTTGAGACTGACCTGGAGCTCACTATGTAGCCCACGCTGGTCTCGAACTCACAGCAATCCTCCTGCCTCAGCCTCCCAAGTGCTGAGATTACAGGTATGCGCCACCACACTCGGCTAATTTTCAAATCTTTGATTTTCTCATTTACCATTCATGATTTCTTCCTTTTGGGAGCTAATTCTATACAGTCCATTGGGTTTCCTCTACTTCTGAAGTAGTTATTAGGACACTTGATAGTTTTAGAATAGTCCTTCTTGATAATTGATTCTTTTTTATTATTTTTTTGTTTTTCATATCCTGTACTTCATTAAAAACTACAATTTTTCTGTAGAATGATCACTTCAAATGAATTGCTAGAGTCATCAAAATGTCACCTGTGCAACATGATTGATGTTAAAAGGCAATCGGCCAGAAGACAGGAATTTTCATTTCCAAAGGAATATTAGGGTCACTATGTACTTCATTGTGTTTATCTCTTTCCCATATACATGGCATGTTTCCATTTTGGAGAAAGCATATGAAAGTTTTTAGTTTACAGAAAACAACTTTGACATTGCAAATTAGACTCAAGACAAAATAAATGATTGCTCTGCTGGAGTCAGATTATGCCTTACTAATCATAAATTGTTACTGTTCTCTTAAATCCCCAATCCCAATACAAACATTCAGTGTATTGGCTAGATAGACCCAAAGCTGTAAACCACCATTTAACATGTTCACACCAGCCTGAGCTACCAGTGGTACAGCCTGATTATTCCACTGGGTGACTTGAACCACCAGTAGTACAAATGGATCTAATCACTTTGATTGGTCTTTTTACTGATAAAATTAATAAAAGCTGCCTGATGGGGCAGTCATGCAATGTATTACCTGTGATTCAAGCCACTTGGCAGCAAGATATATAAATGACAGCCCCATTGTGAACGTGTTAATAGCCTAACTTTACTCTGTAGTGCAGAAAGGATGGGAAAAGGCAACAAGAGCCTGATCTGTTGGCCGAGGTAGGTCACGCCTGTAATCCCAGTCCTTGGGAGGCGAAGGCAGGACAACTGCAAGTTCTAGGCTAGCCTGTGCTACTTAGTGAGTTCAACACAACAAGACCCTGTCTCAAATTCTACCAACCAACCAACCAATCAATCCTCCCCGAAAGCATAATTTAAATTCTGAAATGTACACAATTCTACTTACCATTGGCTTTGGCAGTGAAAGGTAGCCATACTTCTCTCCTACAAATGACATATATAACTTAAAAACTTTTTTCTATTATTCATATTTAACTTTTAAGTATTAAAAAGTTAGTATGTTATTTTGACAATTTAGTCTCTTAATTACATGTGATTGAGAAGTAAACTCCTAATTTGGTGACAAACATGAAGACTCAAGACTTGCATCTCTCATGGCCAGTCTCTACCAGTGTAAAGGGAGAAAAGCTAAATGTCTCACTCGTGTTGATTTCCATCTACAATTTGCTTTACACATGGAGCATTCCTTTTACAGAATCCTGCCTCTGTGGAAGCCAGAGACTTCTTTTTATCAGTACCAACATTGGTGCTTCTTCCTTTTCTGCACAGACCAAACCAAATCATTTACAACTAACCTTACAATGTATTCTCAGTCAGGGAGGAGGACAATCCAGGAAACAAGAAAGGAAGGTGAAAGAAAGCAGATAACAGGTCGTTCAGGCTATGAACTCACAAAGGGCATGAAAAATAAGTAAGAAAAGGAAGCAGACGGCAAAGGCCATTTCATCCCTGCCACAGTTATCACATTATGGCTTCCAGATCACGTACAGTCAGGTTACAGTGGATGACAGATGCTTTTTAACGCTATTCAGTGATATCTACGGTAAGAATGTGGGAAAAGATTTGAACAGCAATTGCTTCTTGACGAAAAAGTACTTCTTCAAAGAAAACAAGTGTATTCACCTATATCAGGTTGAATCACATGAAATGGCTCATTTTCAACCATTTTGAAATATGAAAATATCAATGTCATATTATGCAACCTAGTGTAAGTAAATACAATAGCACTGAATCACACCTGTGCTTAGAAAATGGCTACTGATGAACATGTGAACTCGCTGGTCTCAGACTTCCTACAAATACCTAAATTTCATCTATAATGGTATTCAATACAGAATCCACTAGCTAGACTACTGAGCACTTTACACATAGCTAGTTTGAGTTGAGTTGTGCTGGAAGGGTAAAATACACACCAGATTTTGAAGAGTTAGTATTAAGGGAAGGGAAAAGGATAGAAAATATCTTACTTATGCTGGGCATGGTAGCACATGCCAGTAATCCCAGCACTTGGGAGGCTGAAGCAGGCAGATTGCCCAGGGTTCAAAGCCAGCCTGCGCTACACAATGAATTCAAAGCCAGCCTGAACTGCGTAGTGAGACCATGTCTCCAAAAAACAAAACAAAACAAAAAACTTATTTATAAATTTTAAAATGTTAATTATAGGCTGGGGATTTAGCTCAGTGGTTCCGCTGCCTGCCTTGCAAGCGCAAGGACTCCAGTTCGATTCCCAGTACCAAAATAAAATAAAATGTTAATTATATACTAGCGTAATAGTGTTTTGGAAATATTAATTAAAAATAAAAACCTACTGGGCTGGGGATTTAGCTCAGTGGTTCCACTGCCTGCTTTACAAGTACAAGAGCCTGAGTTTGATCCCTGGTACCAAAAACAAACAGAAAAACAAAAAACCTATTATCCAAACAAATTTCACCTATTTCCTTTTAATTTTTCTTGTACCTACTAGTAAATCTAAAATTATATGTATAGCTTACACTGTATTTCTATTGGACAGTGCTGACCTACACACTAATTTTGCTTAGGGCCAACTAGTGTTTCTCAAAAATGATTTATTATTCAGGTTATTTCATTGTAATGTCAGAATTGTAAGGGAATTTTATTAGTAGTTTTGTGATCTCAGCATTGTGAGAGGGGAAAACATCTTTAAAGATAAAGAGGTTATTTTCATGCTTTGTCTCTCATCTCTGATATAAAATGTACCTGACTTAGCTGCAAGAAGATTAACCAAAAAAAGTTCTTCAGGTCACTCAGAGCCTCAAAATTTACCATATATTCAAAGTCTGAATCTTAGGCATAATATCCCTAATAAATCGTCTTAATATACTATAAAAGAAGACAAAATCATTGAGGAAAACTAGCTCAGTCAAGTAATCTTGTGTTATGTAACTCTATGACCCTTTACACTGCTCATGACTGTGAACCCGTCACATTTACTTTCCAAGAGGAGAGGGTCTGGGGAACCAACCATTTGGGTCTACAATATTTCTAAGATACAACAGAGTTAAAGAAACAAGAATGTAGGAGAAATAACTGCAATGAAAAGAGAGCCTTTATATAATCTGGTTTGCTGCCATTACCATCCCCTTGGTAGTAATTATCACTTGGCGGTTCCAATCCTCTGAGTCCTCTTTTAAGTACTTATTTGTTTTTCTTTCTATTCCCATCCAGCTTACAAGTAGGAGAAACCACAATGACCATGTCCAAAAGCCATGTAGTTTCAGTTCTGGTCTATCCATAGTGGATGGGAAAGCACTATACTGAGGAAGAGTAGAAGTCTATGTGTAAGCTCCATGAAAAGAAAAATCTCAAGATCAATCAACACCTGCTGTCACAGAGCAAGAATTAGGAATGACAGCACTCACATCTATTTGCCTACTCTGATGTAGTCTAACTGCCTTGTTTTATAGATGGCAATCTGGTCACATAATCTTAAAAACAGAAATAAAACCTCTGTTGTCATTTATTTTATTGTAAGCACCGCGACAAATTATTTCATAAAAAACTGAAATTCAAAGGGCCACAATATGTCCAGGACTCGGTTACTAACAGATTATGATACCCAATTATCTCTTGTATATTTTAGCCAGGTCCATTCTCAGCTAATAGAAGATCCAACCAAGATTTCAGTCTCCTCTCTATCAAAGCTTGTTTCTTGCTTGACACCTTTTGAAAAGCCTAGAATTGGGATGGTTGTCATTTCTGGAATGGATTCAGAGGATTAAAGAGGAAAACTCAAAACTGAGTGCTCCAGTCATGAGCACTTTTTACAGAACTGGTTCTCATCAGAACACTTAGGGCTGGGTTTAGAGAGTGTGAGTGGTTGATAAATTTCATCTTTGGCATCGCACAGATTCAGTAAAGCTCCCTGCTCTCGCTGGCTTACTCAGTGGGGGCCACTGGCACAGGAACTTCTTCAAAGCTCACATACATTTGAAAATATTACCTATGTCACAGGGTTACTGAGAGGATTAAAGGAAGCTACACCTCCAGCACTTACAGTAATAGATGGCACGTGTTATTATTTGTATGACCATATTATGCTAGTAAACCTCTGAATGATCATCTTTATAATTTCATGCAGACACTAGCAGGTTGTAGTTTTTGTTTTTTTTCACTGAACCTCTTCCTGCTTTTATAGAGGCTAATCTTGGTAGGAGAAAGATGACTCTCAGAAAAAAAGCAAGGACTGAACTAATGCTGCATTAAATATCCAGTGAGAGAACTCTTTCAGAGGGTATCAGTTTTCCACTGGTTAATGTTTGAGCTTCATTTGTACAAACAAGGGTAGGTTCTTTGTTACTGGGTGCAGGTCAAGAGATTTTCTATAGCCAGGAGTGAAGGTATATACCTCTAGTCCCAGCACTCTAGGACACTGAGGCAAGAGGATCACAAGTTTGAGCCCAGACTGAGCAGCTTAGCAGATAGCAAGAGTGTGTCTCAAAAAAAAAAAAAAAAAAGGTCTGGAGATGTAGCTCAGTGTGAAGGCCCTCAGTTCAGTCCCTGGTGTGTGTGTGAGGTGACAGGAGACTCTTCTACGGTAGGGCCAGACAAGCTGCGCCCAACGGCCTCAGAAATGAAATGAGATAGGAGAGGAACATCAGAAAATGGACAGATAGCGTTTAGAGGGAGAAACCAGACCTGGTGTTTTTTGTTCACAAGCTATTTATTTAGCTGTACTGTAAGATAATAGTGGTCAGGATGCTGATGAGAACAGAAGCAACAACTGTGCAGAACTTACTAGGAATGAATTTCTAAATATTCACACCCACCATGTGAGGTAGTTATGTCATTATTATCCCCGAATTGCAGACATAAAACTTGAAGACAAAGAGGTTAAATTAGAGAGTAAAAGGGACAGGACTGGAACCCAGGCAGTCTCATCTCAGAAACTGGTCTTCAGCTTCTACCCAATTCTGTCCTTCTGCATGAGACTATCACTCAAATCCCAGCACAAGGAAGCAGCCCCTTGATGGGAAATAAAACTTGTGTCTGCTTGTTGAAGAAAACTTGCTCAAGCTTATCAGCCTCTGTCTCCTGTTCTAATTGCTACTCAGAATTTAGCCCAGGATTAAGGGAGGGAGTAACTGTTAAAGGGTGGCTTTCTTGATGGGAAAAAATGTATTAGAAATCCTTTATAATAAAAATAAAAGATAGACAAAAAATTGATAAAACAACCTGGTTTAGAAAGAGTGAGGATCCCAGACACAAAGAGGAAGGCAGCACAGGCCCTTGGTCAAGGGACAAGAACAAGGACAGAACTGTAGGTCTATTCCAGTTTCACAACAGCGAACTCACTGGCCCAGGGATATGGGACAGTACAAGTGCTGACCATTCAGCCACACCCTGTTTTTATGGGTGAGGACAAACACCCAACACAGAGCAGTATGCGAGAAACCTGTCCCCAGCCCAATGATCCTCTGGTAGAGGAGAATCAGCTGGCCAAGCTTGGAACCACATCCTTTTCAGACTGCAGCTACTAGTCAAGCTTTCCAAAGTGCACTTGGAACATGCCTACAAGTGCACGGAACCCATCACATCCCAGAAAGAGCCAGGCTCTGGCACTTTTCATAGGCTAATGTCACCAGATGCAAAAGACAATATTCCTCTGGCCTGTAATGAGAGGCCAGCAGGATGAAGACATACTCAAGGATGCCTTTATACCCAGAACCCAAAATTACACCAACTTCAGCCTGTGCTCACACAAGGCTTTTACAGAGAGCAGGAGCCTCTGAGTCCGCTCAGCTTGAGCCTGCAATTACTGTGCCAAGGACACTCACACGCAGGGTGAGGAGGACTTGTCTGATACCAGAAAGAGGGGGGCAGGGCCCAGCAGGCCTTGACTTCCCCAGACCAGATATCCTTTCACTTGCTTCATTTCCTAACCATCCCTATACGTAAATGACCATTTTTCCTTAAATGTGGATCATTTATATTACCTTTCAACATGTGAAAACTTGCTTCATATTAAAATCCCTGTAAATATGAATACTTTTCAAAGATTCAAAATTATATACCCATTCACATTAACCATCAGAGAATTCTTTAATTTACTGTGGAAGCACAGTAAACATTTATTATACTTAATGATATTTTAGTTTACAGTCTATCATTCCCTGCTTAAGCAAATTGATATTTATCATTTATCATATATATTTTAATATGAATTATTTAAATCTTTTTTGGGGGGTAACAGGGATCAAACTTTGGACCTTGCGCTTGCAAATGTTTAAATATTCTTATTCAGTATAAATATATAATTTGATGTTATGATTTTAATGACTTTTTAAAAAAATCATGCTTTGACACTAACAGAAGCCATTTGAAGGGAAAAGAATTGTAAAAAAAAATAATAACAGGACATACAGTACGATGGAAAACAAACAAAACTCCCAGGTTATATTAAAATAAGAGTAGAAATGATGCCTTCCTATACAGTATATGGCGCTATTCTACACGTTGCAGAAACAGCAATGAACTTACCCACCACAGGGAATATTCCAAGTTTATGTTGTCATCAAGGAAAGAGATTTCATCCAAGTGGAAGGAAAGCAATTCAAAAATCAAATAACTACATTCATTTCATTATGAAGACAGTAGAATTAAGTCAGAGAATTTATTATAGAAAAGCTCTGTACTAAAATTAAACAGTAATTTAGAGGAAATAAAGAATGCCTTCATTTCAATAGAAAAACTAGAATGCTAAGTCAAAGAAATCTATTTACACTACAGTACAACAAATCTTACTTAGACACTATAATAAAAAAACCAAAATAAAAAAATAATATTTTATCATTTTTTCTGTGAAAAATGTTACTCTAAAAACTCAGGCAAGCTATAGCAAGATAATTAGTTTTGCAGCCAAGGCTTCACACTAAAAAACTAATAGTTACATTAAAATAATATATAAAGGAAAAATAAAATAAGACATTGCACTATGTGGACAGTTTCTCACCTCGTCTTCCTTCAAACCCATCACGGATTTCCCTCAGCAGAGCAGACATGTCACTAATTTGAGATTCCCAAGCTTCACAAAATACATCCAGGTTTTCTTTAGCAATTTTACTAGATGGATGCAACGTCAGTGTTTCAGCAGCAGAAATTATCTAAAGAAACACAATTCACAGAGTTATTAATTTTTAAACCCTACACCTCAGAAATCTCACTGGACATCAAGTTTCAGTCTGTACTGCTCAGCTCAAAAACAGGAGCCTGGCAGAGTGGCGTGAGCCTGTAACCCCTGCTACTCAAAGAGGCTGAAGCAGGAGCATCAAGAATTCACAGCCTGCCTGGACAACCTAGTGAGACCCTGTCTCAAAATAAGAATTTCAAAAGGCTGAGGACGTAACTATGTGGTGGCACCTCGGAGTTTGATTTTCAGAACAGGAAAAAAAGAAAAAAGACAAACATGAATACTAGGAACTAGTTTCCACAGAAGCCCTATGTTGAACAATATGGAGATACATAATAGGATGTCTATTGTTGGGGGGGGTAATAATGCGACCTATAGAAGATGATAAATTATTATAGGGAAATTAATATGATATAATATGCTAAAGCTGCATCAGTATTACTAATATGTTGCTGTTCCATGGAATTTTATAGGATTATTCACACACAGACAAACATAGACAGATGTAAATAGCTACAATGGCTGTTCATTTGCCTGCTATGTGCCAGGCACTGTGCCCATCTTCCAAGTGCTACGAAAACACCTGTGAATGACAAATAAATGTCCCTGTCTTCACTGGGCTCACATTACAATAAGTTGAGACAGATAATTTTTTTTTTTTTTTTTTGGTACCGGGGATTGAACTCAGGTCCTTGCGCTTGAAGGCAGGCCACCGAACCGCTGAGCTAAATCCCCGGCCCTGAGACCGATAATTTAAAGGCTATAACTTAAAAGGGTAAGTCATATACATAAGAAGGGTAAGAGCAATGGAGGGGCATCAGATGCTCAAAGTAGTATTTTAAGTCAGTTTATCACTGAAACAAGGTGAGGGAATCACAGGGAAATCCAGGGAAAACCACTTGCGATGAGGAACAGCAAGTAGACCAGACTGACTGGACTGAAATGAGCAAAAGGCTGCCTGCAACCACACAATGGAGAAACAAACATGGTGCGAATGGATTTTCTCCTGAGTGTGAAAGGAAGTCACTAGAGAGCCTGCGGATATGATCAAAGTCAGGCTAGCTGATAAGGTCGGCACCTTGCAAGAATCAAAACCAGGTGCCTGGCAGGGGATTTAGCTCAGTGGTTCAGTGGCCTGCCTCGCAAGGGCAAGGACCAGAGTTCAATCCCTGGTACCAAAAAAACAAAAAACAAAAAAACAACAAAAAACAGGTGCCTGAGTAGGAGGACACAGTCCCGCAGGCATAGGCTTGCCAAGCAGATGGCAGCTTTGTGAGAGGGACCAGGGTCTTCAGAGAACGCAGGGAACTACAGGCCAGATTTCAGCACTGCTGTCCTCTCCACTAGGGGCCCTTGTACAGAACGCAAGCTGTTCAGTTGTGCCCAGAGTGTGATCTAACATCTTAAAGGATATATAAAAATGATATTGATAAGGCAGAGATACTTAGAAATAAATACAACTGATCTCAGAGGCATGTTGTACTTCCTTAAATCAGAGACAGATGCCAAAGACCAGGAGTGAAAACTGAGGCTATGGGAACAGAAAAAGCTTTTCAAGAAATGGAAGTTATTGACAGGCTCCACCATCATCCTGGGGAAGAAAACATGGCCATTTGTTGCAAACTATCTTCTGCAATAGAAACAATCAGCCTCATTGCAAGGCATAAGCAGGGCCTGGGAACAGGAGCAAGAGCTGATTGCCCAGGGCAGGGGAGTCAAACCCTCTGGTCTACTAAAGTACACTGGTGCCAAGGCTTTAGGGAGACACGCACGTGGACAGGCAAATGAAATACTGAAGGCTTGCTTTCTCCTAGCAACAGAGGTCAGTTTGCAGTAGTGTTCAGCAGATGATCACCTTAAAAGTTGACTCGCATAGCTCCTTATCTTCCTGATAAGCCTCTGACACAGAGGGAAGCACGTGGTCATTCCTCCAATGTCCAACATGCTGGAGGGCACGCACCACCACTGTGCCTAGGTCACTGTCACTGTTCTCAGCTATAAATCAGAGACCAAGGGCTCAATATCTATCACCCAATATTGCAATTCTAGAGCAAATCCTTTGGCTGGCCATAATAAATAAAATAACGCATTGAAAACTGCCTTTTAGAGCTTAGATCCTAAACAAGAAAGATTCGTCCTTTGTTTTTTTCCTTGGGTATAACACTGGATATGGACAATATTAAATGGAGTAACAATTTTAAAAGGCTTTTAAAAATTATAAAGAGTAATATTATAGAAAATTCATAAAAAATAACTCAATCTACTAAACTAGCAGATTCTTATGTAGTCGTTTTCAAATTGTAAATACAATGTATAAAGCAGCAATTACAGTATATACACAAATTTGTATACTGCTATTTCCCTTACATGTTAATAAAACATTTTTTGATGCTAACTCTGGTTATCATAATTATTATATTACCATCAAGTGTTATTTACCTAATTTAAGATAGTTACTTTGCTTTCAAGTAAATCTTATTATACTTGATGTTATAGACAACACTTATGTTTTGAAATCCTCTATGTCCTTAGGAATTAAGTTGAAATGATCAAGTATTTGTATAGCTTATCATATAATGATAGCTTACTTTCCAAATACGATATAACAATGAGTATTATAAACAGCTTCATTTAAAAGGTAAGACAAACTAGCTTTCATTTATTTACTTTTTAATTGAATTCATGTTTAATAATTACAGCCCCCCCCTTCCCCCTGCCCAGGCAGCAGCAGGGTAAACTAAATCTTAATTAAAGGAGCCAATCTGCTATCTGTCCATGTAATCCAAGGCAATGTCAGTTACCTTTGAGCATATTACTCATAGAAATTCCCTTATCTTTCTTTCTCTCTGTAGATTTGGCCCCAAAAGTTCTACAAAATCCTTTATACCTTCCTTCTAAACAATTTGTTAATGATGCTCAGGAAAGACATAATAGAGAAGGAACAGTCTGGCGTTATCATACCTGCTGACCAGTCACCTGAAATGTCTCTTCTGCATGTACACAAGTTATCTCAAGGGGTTCCGTCCCAGATACATGTCTCAACAATCGACAGGTCTACAAGAAAACATGTACAGTTCAACTTTCACACTCTTGTCGTTCTCGATACATAGTACCTCTTTATAATGAAAAAGAAAACTAAATTTAACAAATAAAATTTATTAAAACTATAACCATACATTTAGGCATATTAGTCATCAACAGATTCTCTGCAGTCAAAGCAGGAACCAATAAAGGCATAGCATATTGTTTCTGCTTCCTCTCAGATCATGGTAAAGTGTTTGAGGAACCTACAAAAGAATCAAGTAGTGCCCATACATCTTTTGTATGAAGAAATCTGGCTGAGCTTAACTGTCAGGTGCCACAGCCTACACATTCTGCCAACAAGTGGCACTTCCCTTCATGATCAATTAGTTAGGGCCACCAATCTTTCTTTTTAGAGATAACAATGAATCAGGCAGACCAATGTCATGAGTAGAAAGCCTACATTAGAGGAAATTACGGAACATCTTGAAGTATAAAACAGAAAATTTTTAAAAATCGCTTGTTAAAAATGATTGGCTGCAGGATTCCTAAAATTAGTAAGTTTCTCTACAGTCAAACCATTTGGTTTACAAACATAACAGCATGAAATCTACTAAAGCACAGAAATAAATCTATAGTCATTTCAAGAATGTTCCTTAGAGGTTTCTAGGCTATGTTAACAAGTAAAGGAGAGAACGCTGGTCCCGTTAAAAGGTTCCTTTTAACCAAAAGTCTTTGAGATTTGTTGTTACGTTGATGTGAAGACAGCTATATGGTACCTAACTGGGCATTTTTGTACACGTCGGCTAGGACGTAACTCAGACACAGAGTACACAAGGGCTCAGATTTGTGCTGACATTTTCAACAGGCAGAAGGCTTATAATGTCAATCGATGGACCAAACCGGAATTACAGCAAAAGTAGTAGGTGAGGTACAATAACACACAATAGAGACTGGGGCAGAGAAGGGGTTCTGTGTGAGCTGCCCCTTCTTTGTCCCTCTTCATTGTCTCTCCTCCCTTCTCAAATCTGCTTCTTGCCCTGGGTGAATGAGGTCATCTACAGCTGTGTCTGGCCAATGAGAAGACCAGCAACACACGGGCAGAGGCAGGAGGGAAAGGGCCGTTATTCCCATGGTCCTGCCCTTTAGGGCCTCCTTGGGCCATGTGTGTGTCTGGTCCAAATGCCAACACCCTTCAAGGGGCCCTCAGAGACCCTCCAGGCTTCACCCCATTAATCTGGGCCAGGGTGGTACCAGCTCTGTCATCACTCGTCCCAATCACTGCAGTCTCACTGTGTCCCCACACTGTCTACCTGGTACTGAAGGCTTGCTTCCCTGAGAAACCCTCCCTAAATGATCCTAAAGTGAGTGGATCATCTCTTTCCTGCTAAAGCCAAAAAGATTCAATCAGCAACACTCATACAATGAGCCTCTGCTGCCCTACTCCAAGATCTGACCTCTCTGAGGATAAGGAAAAGAAGATTAAGAAGTGCACTTGTGGGTTCTTGCACTTTTTGTTGCTTTGTTTAGATGCCAGTCTGTTAAGAATAGAGCAAGCATACACTAAAACTTGAAGATTCCAAGGGAGAGAGAGAAAATGCTCAGATAAATTAACCAAAAGCCGTGCTCATGCTAATATTCCCTCAATATTTTACTATTGAATTTTAAACTATAATTTCCTTAGTCAACAACCTATTTACTCACCTCAATAAGTTGTTCTTTCTGTTCAGAGAGTTTGCAGGCATATTCGGCCAAAGCTTCTAAATTTCCTTCTACTCCAGTAAGTTTTAATGCTTTTAGAACCACATGATCCGAATGGTATTTTAAGAGATCTGCCGCCAGCTGCATTGCTGTGTTATGAAGCTGCAGGTATGGGAGGTGAAGGGTGAGGAAGGAAAGAAAACAAACAAGTTTTATATCTGAGCACCTGATAGGTGCTTTAAGAACTAAAGATACAAATCTCAAAAATAGTCCCTCTTCCCCACTGAGCATAAAGTTCCCTGTGGTAACAGCAGAAAGTGGGTAGCACTGGGAAGAGCGTCCACCCTCCTGAGGGCAGGGGTAATATCTATTCATCTGTATGCCTAATTTGAGCGCTCTTGCTGTTCATGGAAGATGACCTGGTCATCCAGAGGCAGAGAAGCCCAGGACCTTGTTCATCCTATTATCAGCCAGCTCTTTCCCACAGAGCTTAGTGAAAAATGCTTCTGCTGATTTTTTTATTTTGGGGGGTTGCCCAAAACTTGTAATCTTCCCACTTCAATTTCACAAGTAGCTGAGATTACAGGCATACATCATGATACTGAGCTTTTGCTACTCTAATAAATAAGTTAGTGAGGAAGCCAGGTGCAGTGACACATGCCTATACTCCCAGCTGCCAAGAAGCCTAAGGCAGGAGGATTCCAAGTTCAAGGCCAGCCTGAGAAATTTAGTGAGATGTCTCAAAATAAAAGGGGGGTGGTGTTAGATGTGTAGCTCAGAGGAAGACCACTTACCTAGAAGCTCAATCCATGGTATCATGCAGAATGGGACAGTATTACGAATATGGTATTCAGAGCATTAAAAGGGAAATCAAACAGTTCATAATCATTCGTAAGTTTCTTAGCATACTCTTGAAGTACCAATGTGAGATTCACTCAATTAGGTATTTGATAAAATGTTAAATATCAACATCACACTGTACTGCAGGCTAGATAACCATGACAAGAAAGATTCAACCCTGTCCCTTGGGAGATTACAGTCACTGATACTCTGCCATCCAGAACTTTACTCTCTAGGAACAAACTGCACCGGGCTCGGTGGTACACTCCTGTAATCCTAGAACTCACAAGGCCGAGGCAAGAGAATTGCCAGCCTGGGTTACCTTAAACTCAGATGAGTTTAATGCTCACCTGAATTACATACCAAAACCCTGTCTCAAAGAGAAATAACAAAAAGGAGGGGAAAAAAAACTGCTTCCCAGCAGAAACAAACATAAAAGATAACAAACACCTGAAAGTTTTATTTCACTGTGGATGGCACGGATTTCAAGCACAGCTTACTCTTATTAGATATTTTTGGATATCATTAATTCTGAAATATTTTCTTCTTACCTTACCGATTTTTTTTTTTTAATGTGACAGGTGATTTTGGAGTTATCCAGCAAGGGATCTGAAAATGTTGTTGTAAAGAAAGTTTGACTTTGAACTAAGCCTATTTGAATATAGATATTTCTTTTTCCTGGAAATAACCCAATGTTAATTCAAATTACAGGACTTTTACAAAATTAACAATAGGGTCAGCTGCATTCATGTAATTAAGTGAAAATAATTACAGTAAGAAACAAAGACATTAAAATTCACTTTCCTTAGGAAAGGAAATGCCATGTAACAACATAAAAAGGTTATGTTTAACAAGAAGGCCCAAAGAACACCCAACACTAACCCTTTGTCTTACAGACTGAGCCCGGTCCACAGAGACTTCTTGGCTTGCCAGGGTCATATAACTGGACATTTCATTAACAACCGAAAGGAAAGACGAGGGCACAAACATGAAGCTCCTGCTCAGTGCAACGTCCTAAGAGTGGCTTTACATACACACATACATACATCATCCCCTCCATCTTCATAAGCAGTCTCCAAGGGTGATGTGGTTATACCCATTTAAGAGCCAGGAAAATGAAGTCTGTCTCCAAATGATGCTATGCTGTACTGATAGTTCAGGATTCCACAACAGTTCGGGTAAAATTGAACAGACAGGCTTTTTGAAGAATAGAAAGCTATGAGGCTTCAACAAAGGTGTCAGTACCAAGTACAATGAGGAGATCACTGTAGGTCTATTTTACGAAAGAAATATCTAAAATCCAATTCCATCCTCCTGAGCCTTTAATCGGCTTCAAAGACAAAAAAATAAAAGCAGAGCTAGGAAGAGGAGAGGTTTTTGTGAACAGGATATGCCCGGAGAGCTCATGAGTGATGACTGTGAGCGCTCGAGGCAGCCCTCAAATGGAGACAGTGACATAGGAGGATGACAGAAGGAGAGCCTCTGAGAAAGACCCTAGAGCATCCACAGAGGAGAAAGTTGGCTTCAAATGTCTACTGAGATCAAAGTCCTCATATAAGGGCAACAGTCTCTAAGAATCTTCCACCTCCAAACTCCTCTCTCCGCTCCCTTTGGACAGCCTGGCAAAAGTCAGTAACAGCAGCTACATCATGGAGAACAAAAGTAGTGAAAAAAGACAAGAGAGATCACATCCTCCCCCAGCAAAAAGCTCTAGGAGGGGGAAAGTGGGAAATGACCGGGAAGTCTGTTATGGGTTAGATCTGCCACGTCCCTCAAAAGTCTCACACATTCAGCTGTGGGCTTTGGGAAGGTGACTGGCTCATGGAGGTGCTCTACTAATCCATGGTTTACCCGCTGAGGGGTTCATAGCTGAATGTGCTGTGGCAGGAGGCAGGGCCTGGTTGGAGGGGGTGGGTCACTGATGGTGTGACCTGGAAGGACAGCTACTCCCTCCTCCTCTGCTTCCTGGCTGGGTAAAGCAGCTTTCCTTTGTCATACCCTTCCACCATACTGTTTCTGCCTCACAGCCAACTAACCACAGACCAAACCTCTAAAACTATGAGCCAACATAAACTTCTCCTTCTTTAAGTTGCAGGTGCACAGGTATTTTGTCCCTGCAACAGGAAGGTAACAAATACAAAAGTTCTGCAACTGAATGGACATTGAAATACTGACGAACGTGCTGGAGTGAACATTCTAATTTTCCAACTGAGATTGTGCCTCACAACTGAAAGCAGAGGTGACAAACATTTTCTGAAAAAGGCCTGGCAACAAATACCTTGGGCTTGCAGCCACACAGGCTCCCCTGCAACTCCCCACCCCCGCCATGCTGCTGCAGAGAGAAAGAATAACCAATGTGTACACAAACAGCAGGACTGCGTCCCGATACACAACGTACAGAGACAGCCCAGAGCTGGCGTGTTTATGAACCTCAGACTTGGAATGATCACAAGACACCAGAGGCCCAGAACAAATCACAGGATGACCAAGTTTCCATTTGGAAACAGGAAAACCTTCTACATCCAAATGATACCTCAAAAAAAATCAACTTTAGTGAAGAATCCCTGGTCCGGAAGTATAATCGTAATACAACAAAATACATCCAGTACAAAGGTACAGTTAGATGAGCTCTGCAAACACACAAGCTACATCATCATTACCATAATCACTATTCTGAGTGTCTGCATTACCCCAAAAGGCCTCCTGCGTCCTTTGTAGTAAATACTCCCAGTTTCTGACCCCAGGCAACCACTGATTTGATTTTTGTAATTAAGAATTAATTTTAGAAGGAGGGCAGGGGAATAGGGAAAAAATAAGAACCAAGATACATCATGTAAAGGTACAAGTTCCCAACGATGAATGTAAATGTACTGTGTACCTAAAATGTACCGATGAAAGAATTTTAAGAGAAAAAAATAAATTTCACCATGTTGAGAATTCTTCCAAAGTGGAAACAAACATGCACATGTGCACGTTCACAGGCTTTTGCCCCTGGCTTCTTACACTCATTCAGTAAAATGCTTTAGTGATTCACTCATATTACTGTACGGATTAAAATTGTTCCTTTTTTGCTAAATAGTATTTGGTAGAGTTATAACAAAAATCAATAACACTATGATAGAAATTTTGGTTGTTTCCAGTTTTTGGCCACTATAAATAGAGCTGCTATAAGTGTTCATGTATATAAATTTTGACAATGATGGCACTAATAAATGATGGCTTCAAACTAACAATGGCAAAGAGAAACTTTTAAATCATTTTTTAGTCACAGGGACATTGTAATACACATGTATGTGTATGCCTCATAAAACATAAAGTTCAGCGAAGAATTATAAAAGGCTACATTTTCAACAATACTTACTTCCTTCTTAAGTTCATTGAGACTGTGACTGATTTGCAAAATAGTGAGCTCCAGTTCTTCAGCGACGCTTTTGGTTTTCTTGCTTTGCTAGAAATTTCAAGAAGTATATAGGGTTATCTCATCTTTTTAGTTTTTTACAATTTCATTTGAACTATAAAATTATAATAAATATTAATAGCACCAGACTATAATAAAAGTACATTTTAAAAACTTACATGTTTAAGGTTAAGAGTGAAAAATTGAATTTTAGTTATTTAACTGTATTTTTCTACACTAACTATAAACAGGTGATTTTAAGAGCAATTTTAAAAAATAAATTCATGACATCTAAAATTAATCCCCTCTCTTTTTTATAATAGTGCCTATTTGTAATACAGACTAGTGATGCTCATTTTGGGGAACTGGTACATGCATATAACACTTAATCCTTTATTCTTAATCTAGTTAAAAATCAAAATCCTGTTCACTTTACATAAATATCTTTGTACTTGGCTTCTTTCATTCAGTAGAGTGCTTTAGTGATCCATCCATATTACAGTACACAGTAAAATTGTTCCTTTTATTGTTAAATGGTACTCATCTTACCTAATTTCTTGTTCACCCTACAAAAATGTCTCTTACCTTACATATTTATGTCTTTCTCAGTCCTCTCAAATCAGCCAATCTTAATTAGGCTCTTTTCTTAATTCATTCTAATCTTTTCTCCAAGTAATCATCCCACTTTATAATTACATGTTCTTATATTTTAATTTTAATTTAATTTGTTTAAAGTCTGTATTGCCATGTAAAGTCCTTGAAGAATGAGACCACTACTGAATCCACAGAACCTGGAACATCATAAGTGTTGGGATTCTTTGAAAACTAAATTAAAGTTAATTGTCAACATCTTCGTGAAGCCTTCTTGATTCCTCTCCAAAAATAAGAATTAACCTTCCTTCAAGTTTTTTTTTTTTTTTTGTACCAGAGATCGAACTCGGGTCCTTGTGCTTGCGAGGCAGGCGGCAGAACCACTGAGCTAAATCCCTGGCCCTAAGAATTAACCTTCCTTCAAAGCCTTTCAACATGTGGTCTACATCTTCTTAATTATTTAATTATTTATTTTATTTATTTATTTTTTGGTGGTACCGGGGATCGAACTTGGGTCCTTGCACTTTGTGAGGTAGGCAGCAGAGCCACTGAGCCAAACCCCCAGCCCAGTCTACATCTTCTTTTAGGGTACTTTTAGTTTTGGTATTTGTCTTTCCCTTGACCCACCCCTTTCTACTTCTTTCTATATTATAAAATCAATACTGTACAGGCAAAGCTTTTATCTTTTTCATCTTTAGATTTCTGGTGTCTGAAAAATAAAAGGTACTCAGAAATAACTACTTTTTTTTTTTTTTTTTTTTTTTTGGTACCAGGGGTTGAACTCAGGTCCCTGCGCTTGCAAGGCAGGCCACCGAACCACTGAGCTAAATCCCCAGCCCTAGGAATAACTACTTTTAAAAAAGGAAAGGAATAAAAAGTACATCTGGTACAGAATCAGAAATCTGAATGCTTATGAAATATACAAAGGGTGTTAACTGCACACGTAAGTACTGACAGAATCAGATTCTCAACACAAGAAAAACTAATGTTCAGCTTAAAATTTAACACTGAAGCAATTTACAGTGTTAGATATAATACAGATAATTCAAACTAAACACAAAATAGTGCTCAAATCTCTTATACTACTACAGGGAAAGACTTCCTGCTAATACGGGCATTTGCACAGTGGTGATGCCAAGAAAATCTGTGATTCATATCGACTCGTTTATAAATCAATCTAATTAACAAGAAGCAAACTTCTGCTTCATTTTTCACAGTGTCAGCTGCATTCACTCTCCTTCCTCACCCTTTCTGCTAGCTTCTGTCATGACATCCACACCTGTTCTCTCCCTGCTGTGTGTCATAAGCCATACGCAATACTATTTTGACACAGCCTAGTCCTAAGGAATAAACAAATGGTGGCAGAGACATGTCTCAGACCTCTGTCTCTCCCTTTTGTGATCCACTGCTCCATGAGGTTGGAAACACACTATGTTCGCCCATTTCTGTTGTGGTCCTGCCACAATAGCCTCCTGTTTTTAGCACACCAGCGTATCTGAAGCCTGATATGCAGAGGTTCACCAGCTTAGACCAGCAATCTGTGAGGGTGAAAGATCTTTTATCTGCCAGCTGGATCTACCCTGTCTTCACTGCACCCAGACTTCAGTAAGTGTTCTCAAGTGCTGTGTCTGTAAATCAGCTGCCTTGAGAGTTAAGAACTGTGCACATCTAAATGACTCTTGCACTTAACTCAGGTCCCAAGAACCTCTACGTAGGAGTCCACCCCTCTGCTCTTTATCTGAAGCAGCATTTGGGGGAGGAATCTTCCAAAGGTGCAAGGGTGAAGTAGAGATTGTGACAGTGGCACAGAATCCAGACTGGCCGGGAGGAGAATCAGCCGGCCTAGGAAGGTCACATACTGCAAGTGCTGGAAGGGAAGGACAGCTCGGCCAACTAGGAGGGAGAGGAGATGAGACATCCTTGTCGCATGCTAACCAAATGCAAACTCGTGGTAATTATGTCAGCTTCCACATCTCTTAAAACAGTCAAAAACTACTACACACTACACTCTGCCAAGAGAAGTTCTTACAGCTTGGATCCACACAGACAGGAACTGCTGCAGTTCCACCCTCGCCTGAGTGCACAGCTCCAAGATTCGTTCTCTGTGCTCATGGCTGGTGTAGGCAGAATCCGTGAAGTCCTCTGTCTGCTCCAAGATGACTTCCAAGGACGCAGAGAAGTTTTCTTTGGACTGAAAATAAGGATTCTCCTGAAGAGCTTCAATATTCACCTGAGAACAAAAAGGATACGGATCCATGTGAGTCAGCGTTCCCACCTAACCAAAACAGGCCAGCAAAAACACCGGCAATTTCTTTCAGGCTGAGGGAAGATACAACTTCCAATAATAACTATATCCTCTACTAGCCCAGGAGGACACATTCAAGCGTTTTCAATGGCCCAGCTACTGAAGAGGCTGAGGCAAAAGGATCACATGTTTAAATTCAGCTCAGGCAACTTAATAAGATCCTATCTCAAAGGTGAGGATGTAACTCAGGGAAAGGTCCTGGGTTCTATACTCAGTATGACAAAAAAAAAAAAAAAAAATTACCAGTGGTCATACCAAGCCTCATTCCTAAAACTGCTAATACAAAGACAAAAGGTCAGTGAATACTAAGAAAAAGCACCATCGCACAGCAACTGGTAGGAAAAATGAACCAACCTCTGAGTAAAGGAACTGCACCTGAGAAAACACCTAGGCACAGTCCTGGAAGATGTGTTACACCCAAGTACGCATATGTACTGAGCCCCAGGGAATGAGTGGGGAAGGCACAGAGGGTGAGAGAACGGGCAAAGGTTATCAGTGTTTCCTTTACTAATTCAGCACAAGCTCTGCTAGTCACCTAACTGCTCTCCCTTTTGTTTTATGTCTCCAACAGCACTCACTGAACTGAACACGGAGAGGAGCGGGAGGAAAAGGAAGGAGAGGAAGAGAACAAGCAAAGACAAGACCAGTGTCTTTAGTAAATACAATGCTAAGCCAATTACTGAATATTAGGTCTGTAAGTGGCAGCATTGCTTTAAGGAGATATACCTGCTTTTGTGAAGAAGTGTCATCCTATCAGTACTTAATAATAAGGACTCTGTGGATAACAATGCTCCCTTAAAATGTAAAGGAAAAAAAAATCAAAATATTCTCTCTTTATCCTTACCTTGAATTCTTTAATTGCATGAAAAATACCGATAGATGAAGTGTCAGTCTCCCCCCGTGACTTACAATCAGTCACAATTTCAATGACCTTATCCAGAGCCACTTTCATTCGGTTAAACACTCCTTCTTTGTTTTTATGGGCTGATTCACAATTCGGATGCCTGAGACATGTCTTCAAAACAATTGAAAATGTTTATTTTAATATGTGACCCATCTCCTAACACATGAAATCTTACAGAGAACGTGTCATGCTAATAAAAATGGTTCTTTACCCAAGTCTCCTGGGTCCCTGGCTCCCCCAGCTGCCTCTCCTCACTAAAGTGGAAGCAGGATGAGTAAAAAGCGATAGCAAGGTTAAGTGAGAACTGCAGAGTGCAAAACTACATCTTTATACTTCAATGACAAGTTTACCTAAAGTTGTTGGACAGGAATTATTCTTAATCACGATTAAAACTATTTTTAAATGCACGCTTATATGTGCAACAGCTAAAAAAGAATGAGGAAAATGAACAAGACAATATGTGACTGTGGCAGCATCTTTGATTTTTAAAAGATGATATAAATGAAAACTAGTCAAAAGCTTTCCAAGTGGGCTCCAAGGAGTGCATTTTTATGACTTCAAGGATCCCACCATGGAGCAAATACTCTCAAGAGAAAAAGGCAATTCTAAACAAACTCTTAATGAGATATTTACTAGTCTTTTTTTTTTTCTTTTTTCCAGAAGAGGAACTGAACTCAGGGCCTTCACACTTAAGCTAAACTTCCACAGCTTTTTGTGTTGTTTTGTTTTTTAAGACAGGGTCTCACTAGTGGGGCTTGGATCTATGATCCTCCTGCCTCTGCCTCCCACAGTGCTGGGATGACAGGCCTGCACCACCGTGCCCAGCTTATGCATTCTTGAATTGTACCAATTTGCTGGCCAATTACTCTCTGGAAATACAAGTTCTTTTTGTTTTTTTTTTGTACCAGAGATCAAACTCGGGCCCTTGTGCTTGTGAGGCAGGCAATGGAACCACTGAGCTAAATTCCTGGCCTGGAAATACAAGTTCTTGATTGATAAATGTGTGAAAAGTAACAAAAAGGAATTAGATGTATGAAGTCACAGAATAAACAAACTAAGGGCTGACTCCTACTCCCTGTTACTAACGGATCCTAATATGCCCAGCTTTCTCTAGCCTATGTGCAGCTGGTTCCTCAGCGGACAGGCACGGCCTACAGGGAGCACCTTCTGAGGCAAGCCTGACTCAATGGGCCTGATTTACCCTCTCCTGCTTAGCAGTCAATCAAACCTGACTCACAGGTTTAGATCGTTTAAAGCTGGGGAAGAAAGTTAGCGTTCTTGCACAAAGTAACTGAGATTTAACTATTTAGGCCTATGTTCTCAGTTGCTCCTTTAATCTTTTCAAAAATGTAATATACATAAGCTAGATCCATTTAATCAAGTTTTCTCATTAGTAATTTACAACAAAGTAAAACACAAACTTTCTTACCTTTGATGCTGTGAGAAGCATCATTGTACACTTTTCAAGCACTGCCCGAGCTGCTGCCATTTTTGCCTTTTTCTTTTCATCTTTCAAATCCTAAAAATGAAATAAAATCACTGAGCAGTCCAAGAACCTATAAACAACCGGATTTCTTGAAAAATTATTCAATAGTAACAGAACTCAAAAATCCAGTAACGCTGTTAAGAATAAAAGAACTCAGGACAAATTTTCATAAACTGTTGCCACTTCAATCTAAATACAACCCTCCCCCTTCTTCAGTTTCACCCGACATTTCAGTTACCAGCAGTCAGTGTTTCTTTCATTATCTATCTCCTTGCACTTCTACTAAAATGTAAGCTCCAAGAGGGCACAAGTTGTTGTGTTTCTTATTTACCATTGTATCCCCAATACCGAGACTGGTACCTGATGCACAGTAAGCACCTGATAGAGATCTGTTCAGCAAAATGAATCAATGAACCCGGCTGGCAGCTACATTCAGCACATTCTGACTGAGGAAGAACACATGTGAACCCTGGATGTGTATTCCACAAAAGTGAACTGCAAGGAGCATTCATTTATCCAACACAGAGGCCAAAATGGCTGCTCATAGGTTTCAGGGCCCCCACATATGATTAATTACATTTTAAAAATAGTTATTCCTTCAGCCAAAATGTGCAGAAGTTTTGTAAATGTTGGGTCATAGTCTTACTCTACTTGGGGGTGGGGGAGCATTACACCCAACAAATTTCTTACTACAAATCAAAATACTGGTGAAAATTATCAGTCATATCCAGAGGCAGAAGATTAGGCAGGAAGCATAACTAAAAAAAGATGGCTTTGGAACCCATGAAGCACAACATGCTTGCTCAAATGCTCAAGAAAATGCTAGATGATAAGCTGTGGTTTTTATAAAAATATTCAGAATACTAACTTTTTTAGGGGAAGAGGGAAAACAAAGAAGATGAAGAGAAAGAAAGGGTTATTATAAAGAATAATGACAGTGAAAACTGAAAATGAAACTATAAGGTGCCTATAGAGGCAACTTTATTAGAGACAGATGTCACTATCCTGTCTGCCACTTTCCAGGCCAATATCTATCCCCCAACACCAGCTGCAACCAGAGAAGCTCATGTTCAAAATGACGGGAGTCACCTATGGGCCTGTTATGGCCAAAAGATCCATAATGTTCCCCAAAAAAGGTCACTGGGTTGAAGGGTCGATTGCTCACTGGACTTTTGGAAAGTGATGGGTTAACAAAGGATTTAACTTCATCAATGGATTAATCTACTGACGAGATCGTAATTGGACAGCATTACTAGGAGGGGATGGAAAAAGAAGTGGAACCTAGTTAAAGGGAGTGGAGTAGGGGGCTGTAACCCTGGGTACGATATCTGGTCCCCAGTGCCTTCCTCTCAGGCTTCCACACCCTCTCTGCTTCCTGGCTGCCATGAGGTGAGCAGCTTTGCACTGCCATACTCTTCCATCATGACATTCTACCTCAACAGACCTAACGGGAATAAAGCCAGCCGATCATTCCCTGAAGCCTCTGAAACTGTGGGCCAAGTCAATTGTCCTCCTCTAAGTTATTTATGTCAGATATCTTGCCACAGTCATGGAAACCTGACTAATAGGGACTATGTCAAGAAACAGTCAATTAATACACATTTAACCTACTAACAGGATGGAGTCATGCACCGATCCCCCAACAAAGAAAAGTCAATCCTAGAAATAACATGGTTTTTCCATCTCCTTAAACTTAGGAGCTTATGGTCTGAGTTGGGGAACAATCCCATGAAAAACTGATATCACACTGTAGTTCGAGAACCATAGGCTTTAGAATCAGACACAACGGGCAAGCAGAGTGACCTTAGGAAAGTTTACCTTCTCAGCTTTAGTTCCCTGACATGTAAAACAGGAATAACAGTGCCTGACCTCAGAGGGATGTACTCAGAAGTAAATAAGATAATGTTTCTTAAGTGCCTAATACCTGATATAGCCAGTGCAAATAAAGCAACAGCATGGGTGTTACTATTAATCTAACACAGTAAGAAAAACAGAAACATATAACAAAATATGTTAAGAATACATATGACTCAGTTTATCTGTCTGATCTCTGCAGAGGAATCAAATGGAAAATTTCATAAAAGACAAAGTACTCAAGTCAGCTCTTGCAGGGAGTATGACTGTCTCCAGTGGGAACAGATTCAACCATTACATATGTGCAAAAAGTATACACAAGTCTACTAATAGTACCCTGGCTTGTTTGTGAAAAGCCTTCAAGACCAAGGTTTAATAAGCAAAGAAACCAACTCAAGTGATTGAAAAGACCACACTTTCATTCAAACTAAAAAGTAGTATGCGTTTACGTGAAGATGTTAAAATGTCACAAATACATACATTTTGTCTATCTCCAGTTAGATGTGCAAACTCCACCATTTCATTTCCAAACTGGCTGAACATTTGGACAAACTCTTGAAAGCTATTCACTGACTCTAGTCTTTCCATAGTTGCAAGAACCTGCACACAAAGAAAATGTTATTATCAGGTGATACCTATGAAAGAGACAGAGGCTGTCAGGGTTGATTTAGGGGAAAAAGGGACATGCTAAATCCCAGGGCAGTGACTGTGAACCTTTTAGAGCTTTCAATGATAACAAACAGCCAGTGCATGTGTGCCACAGGTTCGCCACCACTGACCTAGGTGAAAGCTGGGAGGAGGCAAAAAAGAAGACAAGGGCTTCACAGGAAGGGTAGCGCACATCTGTAACCCCTACTTTTTGGGAGGATGAGGCAGGAAGACACAAATACAAGGCCAGCCTGGGCAACTTAGGCCCTATCTTAAAAAAATAAAGAGCTGGGGGTGAAGCTCAGTGGTAGAGCACTGCCCAGCATGCACAAGGCCTGGGTTTGACTCTCAATACTGAATAGGGGGCAGGGGTAAGAGTTGATTCAAAGTTATTTAGGCAATAATTTGTTTTTAGAATGAGACTTGGGCTTACTTGAAAATTAAAAGAAACGGAAATTTTTGGTATTAAATATACAAAAAAGAAGAGTTCTTTATGTAGGCCAGTGTGCAGGAGGCTAAAAAGGACAGGACGATGGCCACTGCCATGGTTTGAGAGCGCCCCTGATGATTTGTGCGTGGAGAGCTTGGTCCCAGTGTGTGGGCCCAGGTGGTGGGGCCTAGTGGAAGGCGATAGGTTACTGGTGGCGTTGCCCTCGGAAGGGGATCATGTGGCCCTCGTGGTTCTTATAAAAAGATGATCTTGGCCCTTCCTTAGTCTCTGGCTTCCTCTCTTGCCATGTGATTTCTCCCATATGTGCTCCCACTTGTTGGAACTTGAGTCTCCAAAACTGGAGCTAAATAAACCTACCTGTATCTTTCTCTCTTTTGTGTGGTGCTGGGGCTCAAATCCATGCAGGGTCTCATGCACAGCAGGCAAGTGCTCTACCACCCAGCTACACACCCCCACCCTCTTTTCTTTATACAGTACCTAGCACTGGCATAAGGTATTTTGTTATAGCAACAGAAAAAAGGGTAATCATATCTTCAAAAGCTAAGAAGGCAATGAGGATAAAAGACAACACACAGAAGCTGCGTGATTCACTAAACCAGAATTGGAGGAACAACATTCTTCCCAGAAGAGGGGAAAGAAGGTCATCTACAAAGTGGAGTGGAAAGGAAGGTTAAGGACCTCCGCGTAGAAAAACAGTTCAGGTCAGCCCAGAATCGCCTGTGGAATAAATTTCTTGCCAAAAAGCTTCAGGCAGTCAGGAGTGAAGACAGAGCATGAATCTCAACAGAGCCAACAGACAGTGTTTTCTTGACGTAAGAAATGAAAACACAGATATCCTGTGCTGACTTGGTTTTAATGAGGATACAGTGGATATGTGGCATCTGACCTGCAGTGGCAGCTCAGGAAGCGCAGGCAGAGCACACAGATAAGGCCGACTGCCACAGTGAGCAGAGCCCCAGCTCCCAAAGAGATGCAGGTGGGCTCGTCCCTCTAGCACTGCCTGACCCCTCTTCAACTTCTTTTTCTCTTACCAATTAGTTTTGTCTCAAACCCTACTGGGAACTATCCCTCCCCTGGCTGACTGCTCTTCTCCCCACCGAGGGGAATTATCCCAGGGAAGACACAATCACACATGCCTGGCTTCCTGGGTGGTCAAGGAACATGACCATCACTAGAAGACTGTACAAGCTCTGGAAGAGTTTAAATACATTTTTTATGTTTTACAATTATTCAGGAACTCTTAAAGCCTCTGCTACAGAAAGTTTGTAGCTGTGAATAATTATGATTTTATGGATTACTTATAATTTTGCTTAAGCTTATAAATTGTTACTGACTTGGAAATTTTTTTTTAAAAAAACTGAAGGATTCAGCAATTTTATGAATTTCTGCTACTACATGGCCATGGTGTCCAGCTTTTCTTCCCGAATGGTAAACATTTAAAACTTTTCCAGTAAGTCTCCATATATAGATAATAATTCTCTGAGGAGAAACATTATTTGCATTCAAAAGTTTAAGCCCAACTCAGATGCAGTGGCACAGTTTTGTAGTCTCAGCACTTTGGGAGGCAGAGGATCACAAGTCCAAGCCCAGTCTGGACAACTTACAATCCCTTGTATCAAAATAAAAAATAAAAAAGGACCAAGGGTACAGCTCACTGTGAATGCCCTGGGCTCAATCCCCAGGAACAAAGGAATAAAAATCAGGCCCATAAACACATTACTAATTATATGCATAGAAGAAATGCTACTTTTAAACTACAGACAATTAGCGTTATACACAATTACAATACACAAGAATTACTGAATTAACTGTAATTAACCTAAAAAACACTTCTGAACTACCCAGAAAGACAAATGGCAGAAAAGCAAGTACCTTATTTCTTGATGCTATTATCTGTTTGATGACTACCCGGTCAGCCAGCAGCAAGACTTTTGTCACTGAGGAAAGAAGTAGCCTTGCCGCCTTTATGACTCCTTCTTTGTCTGTAAAAATCAGGATCTGGCCATCAGATTCAGGATGCTTCAAACTGGTTACATCTGTAAGTGCTGCAATTGTTTCTCCTAACAAGAAAAGGGGAAAAGTTGAAACTGGGAATAAGACACTGAAGTAAAAATCCATATCTTCCTTTGATCTGGAATATAACACACACAAAGGAAAAACTCAGCTCTGGAGTCTTACTTCAGGAACAAGAAACAATTTCGCCTTAGTAATCGGAGGGATTGTCACATGAAGCTTTCTAATGACAAAGTAACAGCATACTTTTCAGAACAGTGACAAACTTTTGCCTCCAGTGAGTGAGAAAGACAGAAATTTTATTTCCAGTGGTATGGCAAATACAACCATCTAAAAGTCTCCTTCCACTAAAGGGGAAGGAAAAAAAGCCCCATGTTCTGCAAAACACTGAAAGTCCCAAGACATAAAACCCAAAGAAGAATCCAAATCAGAGCACAAGTGCCCAGTCTTGGGCTTGCAGGGAGGGGCAGGGAAGGTGGGAAAGGGGGTGCTGCCAATCACAACCTCAAAGATCTTGGGCTTGGGGGGACATCCAAGGGGACCGGAAAGACAAGACTCTGGACCCCGGAGATGACAGTGTCAAGGAGATGAGACTGGAAAGAATGTTTGTCTTCGGCCAAACAATAAGCAAGTCTGTCTGCTGGTCCAGGTGCACACAGGGAAATAAAACACCCTCTCCTCATGCCCAGGATTCACACCCAGGGCTGACCCTTTCTCGGGCTCACCACTGAAATTCATACTTCTTCCAGGGCCCAGTGTATATGTCACCAAATGAGCTTCAGACCTTCTAAAAAATATTCTCCACTGTTGCTGTCAAACATTTTGATTTCTATAATAGCAATCATTCATCAAAAAACAAAATTAGTTTGGTTTCCTCAAATATGAAGTCAGGTTATACTATTCTCCAAAACACCTTGCTGTTAAAGTTATCGAGGATTTTTTAAAAAAATAAACCTTTGATCATCTTGTAGTATTGAAGATGCAGTAATTTCTAAGTCCTCAATAAACCTGTGTACCTAACAACTGAATCTCTCACGGAAGCCTTCTTGTGTATTTTATTACAAATACACAATAATGTCTCCAGCATTAGGCTAAGGATCTGGAGTAAAAATACCTGAGCCTTAATAGGCAAACCACAGGTGTGAAATGATTGAAGTCAGTACCTGTAAAGATCAGAATGGCTGAAGAATATAAAATGAACTGTAAAGAGGAGGAGACTTAAAGCCAGGCTACTTTCAGTTGTAGATGTGAGGTAATAAGGACTCCAAGGATGATGTCCATAGGAATATAAAGATGACGATTTCAGAGACACTGAGCAAAGGAAGTACAAAATTAGTACCTGACCAGTAATAAGGACAGGAAGAGAGAAAAAATGGCTTCTCAGTTGATAATGCAAGTCACTTACATCAGAAGGGCACAGGAAGGAGATAATAAAATTTAGTTTCAGACAATAGTAGTTTAAAATGACATGAGTACACTAAATGTAAGCCACGAAATACGGATTGGCAGTGAAGACTGGGATGTCCTGTGTACAGCGGCAGCAGCTGAAGTTTTACCTACAGAGGTCGTTAGCCTTGAAGATGGTTCTCAGAGACCACACCCTTGTGATGTCCCCGCCCACATGACACTAGATTTGGTACATCACTTCCGTGAGTGATTAGGTTACAGGTTATGAACTTAGTGGCAGCCATCCTGTTCTCTCAGAGGGGTCACCCGCTATGGAGTAAGCTGCTCTGGTACACATAAGCCCAAGTGATGAGGAACCAACTGCCCCAGGAGGGTACTTAGAAAGAGATCCTGCAGTCCAGGAAGCCTTCAGATAACTGAGGTATAGCAGACATCCTGACCTCAACCTCAGGAGAGGCTCTGACCTAGCATCCCCCATCCCCTCCTCACCCCAGCCACTGCCCCATTCCTGGCCCTGAGAACCTGCCTGAGGTAGTAAACGCTGTGGCTTTGCATTGATACATTTTGGTTAATTTGTTAGACAGAAATACAAAATTTTGCATTACAAAGTTTTTAATGACAAGCTATATACAAAGAAGGAAAGTGCTTAGAAGTAAAAATGCACACAGAAAGAGGCAGCAGAAAAAGTATCCATTTGCATTCTATTAGCAGTGCCTGAAAGGATAAAAATGTTTCCTCTGTACTTCTGGAAATCATTAATTTTTCCCGTTCCTCTCAATCACCACAGAAATTACATAAGAGCCTGTACATATGGCATTCTTTAGACTTTTCTTTTTCAGACTGAACCCCAAGCATTTAAGTTATGAATACACGGGGTGGTATCATTTGACCAGCTCTACCCAACATGGTCAAATGAGTCCTTAACATTAGGAAGTTGCTCAAAGAATAGGCTGTTCAGAAATCAGTTAACTGAGGAAGCACAAGTCTATCTTACAGCTTCAGAGTGGTCATTTCTCATTTATCCCATGCAGTTAGCTGGTTTTATGTTTTAAAGTACAAACCTAATGCCACTTATACACAAACAATTATTGTACTTTGTTCAAAACCAACTTTCTGGTGGCCAAGTAAAAAGTAAAAATACAAAGCAAGACTACCACCGAGAAAGAAGGATAATGATAATGATAACGACACCACTATTTGTTGAACATTTCACATGTGCCAAATGCACAGATGTATTATATCAAAATACCTCTATAAGCATTAATAGCCCCATCTTGTAGGTGAGAACTCTGCAGTTTTTTTGAAAGTTAAACAGCTTGCCCAATGTCAATCTGCTGGCACTTGGAAGAGGTGGGATTGGAATCTAGGCAGTCTGACTCTACAGCTCTAGTTATTTTATCACTACTTGTATTATTCCCCTCAGCTGAATGTTAAATTGTCTGGTGGAGGAAATGGTCAGGATGGGCTGACTAGGCAGAAATATATCCACCCCCAGATCCACTGCCTTAAGCCTGCCTGTGTCAAGGGAACTTTAGGCCCTCCGGGTCCTGTGACTCCAGAAGGCACTGTGCTCACCCCGGCCCCTCACCCTAGGGACTGCGGGAGGCCACTCCCAAAAGAGAAAGGGCCCGTGACATGAGGAAAGTGGTTCACAGAGCCCATGACACCTGCATCTTCTAAAAGACTCTGTCCACACAGCTGCTTGAGTTACAGCCCTCACAGAAAGCCATAGCGTCCTGGAGCTTGTCTCTACGCCATGTCCTCACGCTCCCGGGCCCAATGGGAAAGGAAGACTCAGGTTGCCTTCTCTTTCCCTTTCAGTTAAAAAGTAAAACACTCGCTCTGATCAAGGGCTGCTCTGAGAAACAATATGAAAAACATGCCACATTCTCTGCTGCACTGTCCACGGCTTTGTGTAAGCTCTGTTTAGAATGCTCACATCATAATCCAGTGCCAGGAAAATGGCCCTCTCTTCTCTTACAAGCTGGTTGGTTTCCTTTCAGCAAACAATGAGAATTATATAACCCTTTGTTTCTCACATTTTTATCTTGCCTTTCAGGAAGTACAGAGATAAATCTCACGCTTAATTAAAATAGTCATGTTTGCCAAATTTTCCAGTATATTTATTTTCCTCTTGTTTTAATGGGTTCATTGAACATGTCTTTTACTGTAAGTGATTTCAAATCCTTTACACAAGTGGAAAAAATACAAATTGAGACTAGAATAAGGCTACCTCTCCTACTTCCCACAGCAAACCTAATCTCTAATCCGGTAAATGGCTAGAAGCTCAAGGGCCAACCCAGACTCCTGTTTCTTCGTTCTATATATTTGCCACCTTCATGAATATTTTATGTACACTTCCTGCTCTTTAAAACTCTGCTACAGCCAGGTACAGTGGCACACAACTGTAATCCCAGCTACTCAGGAGGATGAGGCAGGGGACTGCAAGCCGGTGGCCAGCCTGGTTGTCTTTGCAAGACGCTACTTCAAAAATAAAATAAAAAGGGCTGGCAGTGTAGCTTAGTGGTGGACATCTTGCCCAGAATGCATAAGGCGCTAGGTGCAATGGGGTAGGGACATCTGTCTTGGTCTAGCTGATCTTCTTGGATAAGTTTCCATATTAATCTCTGTATCTTCATTCTCAACGTTCTCTCAATCTGCCCTCATTGATCCATTTCCTTCATATTATCAAGAAGATTTCTTGGGCCAGGGATTTAGCGCAGTGGCACCATGCCTGCCCTGCAAGCCCAAGGTACCAAAAAAAAAAAAAAAAAA